TTGGTGACCGCTTTGAAGTTAATGACCACCCACTAGTCCCACAGAGGAAAGGCAAGCCGCGAAGACAGATATAGCTTGGTAAGATTCAACACCACACCTGTGGTTGATAGCTTGTCTAGCATGCACAGACACATACATTAGTAACGTTTGGTCATCAGACCGGAGAACTACCTCTGATCAGTAGCTCAGTGGGTAAGAGTTCAGTATTATGATGGAAAGTCAACGGCTCAAATCCCAGTTCCGCTCCGTTGCATAGTTCTTCTCTGGGTCAAGCTGACGAGTTTTCAAAGAAGACATTTGACCTCAGCACAATATATAGAAAGATGATCATGGCAGGTCTTAACTGCTTACAAAAATACCATGCTTCTTGAAATCAGGTTTTCTTTTTAAATACAAGTATTTTAACATACTTGTCCCTTGTGGCCTTAAAATTATTACAAAGTTATGTATTTAACTTTATAGCACTCTATCCCAGGTAGCTATTGACCAAAACATGATGAACATAGGTCTTTTAGTCCTTAAGCGGACAAATTACAAATACTGCATACTACCATAAGCTCAAAGGCATTTCATGCTAAGAGATATAAACATTAAATGCTATGAATTTTAATTAAAACGTGACTGGTGTAAAAGGTTCTACTGATTCTTGGGAGATAACTTCAACAGAAATAGCAAGTTTAATGACTCTAACACAAAGGGAATGTGTAATTTGTAAAGTGGATTACCAGCTTAAATCATATTTACATTAAAGAAGTACCACAACACATATCTACATGTTTAAAATATATTTAATATTAGATTACATCTGTTACATTTGTAACTGTGAGGGATTATACTAGTAACATAGTAGTTCTATATATATACACGGCCAATCAGATCCCAGGAGGTAGCGTCCCACACCTTCTCATTCATACACATACAAGGCAAACACTCAATACTGTCATTAAATCTGTAACAAGACCTCAGTCACTTTCGGACATTTACTGACGCTTTTTTGATGAAACAAAACTATCTGCAAACTTTTTCAAATTCTTAGAGCTGAACCTAGTTTTTCAAATTGTTATTTATTTAAGATACAGTGAACTAAATTTCAAATGCTTTTGATTAAAATCTTGAAAAAATATTACAACAAGCATTTCAAAATAAAAACAAGAAATTTAACCAAAACAAGTTCATGTATAGCAAGACAGTTTCACATAAACTATTTCCCATTACCCCGAACAACAACCCAAGCTAACACAGAAGATGATAGTGTTGTAGTTTAATTATTATTGTTTGTTTTTTTGTTCTGAAGTGATTTTTCAATATTGGACATAAGGGAATGGAAAACATTGAATCTGTACAGTAGAAACAACTTTAACCCATTCCCCTGAAGACACATTTGAACTCTTCCAATTCAAGGGCTCGACTAGTCCATTATGAAATTTCAGGGGTGAATGAGTTGATGCAGTTACAGAGTCCAGATAATTGAATCAGGATTCTCCAAGGAACACATTAAATGCAATGTCAGCTGTACATAAAATTGTTGATTTACAACAATTAATCCTTAATGATATTTCTGATGCATTTATTTTTGGCTTCCTGCAGTTCCGACGTTTAGTAGCTTTTCTACAATAATTTTGTCTGATGTTGCATCCCGTTGGAGATTGCCATTTACAAATAATCCACTGTTTCCTTTAATCCACACCTTGTACATGGGCAAATTGGTGAAATTTGCCCCGACCAGCAAAAACTCACTCACAACAATACCGTCCTAACCCTATCACTGATCTTACACCGAAAAAGGATATACAGAATGTCAATATCAAACACCAGACGACTTAGCATAGTATAAGGTTCAGTTATACCATGTAATAACAATGTGGACAACACAGTTAGTATACAGTACTCAATACAAGTCACTTCAACAAGTTTACACAGAAATGTGACTTCTGGTGTTTCTAGTACCAGCATATAATAATTAGATCAGTATATCATCCATGTACACACAATTAGCAGAACGAACACTTTATACAAAATTAATTTTATACAAATTCTATCCACAAAGATTAATTGTCAAAAATAAATAGGAACAATAATTCAAGTGTACACTCTAACAGAAACAAAATGGAACACTATCTTTATTTAATTCTTACCATAAACCAAAGAAACCAGGTTTATTGGTTCCATTATACAAAGTCTGTACGACTATTAAACATATTTGCAAAGTTAGAAAATGCTCATTCTTCAACAATCAACCCTTCATTGAAAAGGAAAACATGGCCTCTTTTAATTGACTTACACCACTGACCTTAACCTTTGTTTTGTTTGACCTCTACTGATGACCTTGGACCGCTATCCTCTTTTCTTTTACCACTTCCACTAACATTGGCCTTTTATGTAAAATAAAGGATACCAGGTATTTTATACATATGAAACTGGCTCAGAAACTGTATTCTTACTTAACCCTTTTACCACTAGGTACCTTTAGTAGACTCTACCATATACAGTTATCTGGATGAGTCCATTCTAGCCTACAGTGGTGAAAGGGTTAAACAATCTTCTCTTTTAAAAAGATAACTATTTGTGGTATACTATAACATGGTGGCCTGGTGAAGAGAAACAGAACAGAAACAGACTGCATTTATGTGACACATGGTCACACTACCACATATTGTCTGGGTCTGTTATAACGGAGAACAGTTTTACCTACAATTTTTCCAAGTACTGCAGAACTTCATTTCAGTTGCCCTGACAATTTTTAAATTTGTTCAGAACTTATGTGCAAGATTTTAAAAATCAGAATAAGATTTTTTTTTTTTTTTTAAATATAATTTTCAACTACAGTAAAACCTTGTTATACCGCCACCTTCTGTCCTCTGTGATTTTGGCGGCATAACAAGTTTGACGGTTTATCGAGTTTACAGTTTTGAACCCAAGTGTTCACACATCAACTCAACTTATACATTTAAAAAATTATAATAAACTTCGGAATACGTTTTTTTCAAAATTGTTATTTGATGCATCAAATTGTTGAGTGTGCAAAACACACAGCTGATTACCTGGTCAATCGGCAGTCACGTGTAACAGTACAATGTACACACTTACAAAACACACAGCTGATTACCTGGTCAGTCGGCAGTCACGTGTAACAATACAATGTACACACGTACAAAACACACAGCTGATTACCTGGTCAGTCGGCAGTCACGTGTAACAATACAATGTACACACGTACAAAACACACAGCTGATTACCTGGTCAGTCGGCAGTCACGTGCAACAATACAATGTAACATTCCTGTCAATGAAATATACCTGTACTTTACTCAAATTGGCGGGCTTGGCGTTACAACGGGTGCATTAATGTTGGGGGAGATCAGTTCTGAGTAAATTAATGGCGATATGCGGGTTTGGCTGTTTAACGGGTGGCATTACAATGAAGTTTTACTGTACAGATCAATAAACCGACAGATTTCAAATACACATAAATACAAAAATCCTGCATCTGAACTCTAACTATCCAGAACATACCTGTCAGTCTAAAACACTCCAGAACACTTGGGTCATTGTGCATTGTTCTGTGACTGTATGATTTTGTAAGTCTTCAAATTTCGTTCATCCTTATTTTTCCTAAGGAACCAAATTGTATATGTTACAAAGGTTCTTTGTAGAAACTGTGATACCTTTTTCATTCATTTTCAATTATAATGTACACTGATTAAATGTTTAAAAAAACATTTTGCATAATAATAAACTTCAACATAAAATCAAGAAATACTGTATTTGGACGGATACAACAAAAACACCTGTAGCTGCAAGAGAGTATACATGCATCGAAAAACTCATGGAAAATAAATAATAAAAACAGCTGCAAATTAAATAAACATATACAAGCTTATAGCACATTTTCCCTTCATTCTGGACCATGAGTCTCTGCCTCTGGTAACTAGGGGAACCGTATAGCTTCTAGGCCTGATTGTTTTTATTTTCATTTTTTTATTTATTTTTTATTATGATCTGAGAATAAATGGTCTATGGTCCGATGATAAAAAAAATCATAAAAACAATCAGGCCTAGAAGCTACGGTTCCCGCAGCAATGCCTCTGGCTGACCTTAATTTTAATTAGTAATTAAACTTAACAGAACATCACAGTAAAACTCAGCTAAAGTGGAAATACGAAATGTTTGTTATACTGGTGAGTGGACAATGGCAATACTGAAAGCCATATTATTAGATGCCTTGTATATAAAATAAATAAAATTACACAACTTGTCATCAACATCAATCACATGATTGCCCAAACCAGTCTCAATCAGTTATTTTCTTCAAAAATAAAAGTTCATGTAGTTCCATATAAAAATGAGCTATGTTTACAAGGGCAAGAAAGATGCAGAACAATAGACAAAATCATGAAAATTAAATCTCACAAAAATGTAGAATTTTACAGTATTCGGTTAAAACCTATTCAAATTTCAGGTCTTCTGAATGAAACTAACTTCACTGATCTGAAACTTATCATCAAGATAGAGTTAAAAACCAAAATATGAATGAAAATAAAAGTTACTCAAATACAAAACTGATCCTTAAAAATTGCACCAAAAAGTAAAAACTTATGACAACCGTATTAAAAGAAATGTATTTTTTGTTGAAAGGAATACACAAAAAAAAATTGATGCTGGAAATGAAGAATGACTGAAGTTATTAAGTTTGTGTAGATATAGTGAGAGAATTAACAAAGAAGCATTGTTATTGATCACAGATTTCGATATCTGTAACGAATGGAATGTTTACTGAACAACATGAACATTGAAATAGATATTACAGATAAATTATCATATATCACAGTGTCAGCATGGCGAAATGGAACCCGACCTACCATAGGCATATCAGCTTTTAGGTTCCAGTTGTACTGTTTTATGTTAAAGTTGTAATTGACAGTCTATACTATCATCTGTTGTTTTGAATTATTGTTGTAAGGAGATGGCTTCATAAGTTGTAATAACTTGCGCCAAATCCTATTTTCCAATTTTGGTTAATAAAATATGTATAAAGTCAAAGTATTGAAGCCGTAATTGAATATTTTCAAATATATGTGAATAGTTTTCTGTTAATATACAAGTTTCCTTATGTGAATAGCTGTATGTACATACACAAGTATACTATCCCTATGTGAATAGCTTTGTGTGAATAAATCCTTAGTAAATAGCTTCCGAATTAACAACCTAAGTGTAAGTCTAACTTTCCCGATATACATATTTCATTAACATTAGTATAAATACTGTAGATCATTTGTCGTTAGTACTGTGATTTTATATCTCTCCTGTTTATCATGATTGTTAATCAATATTGTACCGAACTAAAATACTAAAACAAAACTTACAACAACAAAAATATGCAATTTTTCAGTTGAAGTAATAATTGTAGCAACTGTCAGCCTGTAAATGTAGGAAATACTAAGATCTGGACATTCACCTGAATAATTCAAAAAGTTTGATAAATAATTTTGATTATCAGTACAGGTCACAATGACATCTATTACAATACAAAGTAACTACACTATTGGGTGTATTTGTGATTTTGCTGTTTGATATTTTACACCCTAATTCTATAGTCTACAGATTAATAATATCTTTGCTAAAATGCTATGACTCTTGGTTTATAGGTTTTGCCTCGAATATACAAATCATGATCACTTTCCGTTTTAAGATGTTGATTGAGCACAAGGCTCTACCTAATTTTCATATTCAGACAATTAGGCTAACAACAAAACATCTACATTTGATTAAAAGGTGTTACATAGAACTGATTTCTTAGTGTTCAATGAATAATGTTTTTGTGGATAGTTATTGTATATATGATATAACGTCACCGATTAACATATGGAGTGTATATTATAATGATATGTATGTCTATATACTGTTTAATGTCTATCTATTGGATATCCCTGTGTTCCTGAGAGCTACATCAAATACAGAACAGGTATCATCTTCCGTGAGGCTCGAAGGCTTTAGGACGCATGTTGTGTGACCGTGTACTGCGAGATGGTGTCTGGTATTTGGGAGATCTGGAACAGGAAAGAGAAATCCAATTTACAATTAGCTACAAAAAATTTACTTGCAAAATATTCAGTGCACAGATTACAATTTGCTTTAAAGCAGGACTTTTTCATTTGATATTAGTTACTACATTATCACTGACAATCAAAACCAGGGAATGTTTTTATTTTCTCTTTGACCTGGAGTGTAAAGGTTAACTTGAGAAATCTATAAAAGCCTTGTTATGTTCTTAATGTTAATTAAAGTATTTACAGCAAAGTCATACTGTACAAGGCCCTAGTTTGTTAATGGCCCATCAACACATTAAGGTAATACACAGACAGACAACAAGTAAATGGCAGGTGTGTTAGGAGAGAAACAGATGTATAAACTGTCTCAAACCAGATGGGAATGGAAATACAATTATGGACAAAAAAAATATTACAACTGAAAAAACTCACTCATAACAAGTTCCAATTATTATGAAAGTGTATGGATTTAGTGAGAAATGAAGACCAACAAAAGATTAAACCAAATTTTCTCACAACTCAACACAGAGGAATATTAATTGAAACCAAGCAACCTTAGGCCCAATGTTCTGTTAAGCCTAGCCGGGGTAAACCTGAGTATGCTTACCGGTCTCCCTTGGTAGGGGTCTCGGTGATCAACCTGGATTTAGCTTTTGGTGTGGATTTGGGGGTAGATGGCTTAGCGAAAGAGAAGGAGATTTCAGAATCCTCCCTGCAATGTACAATCAGATGACAATAACTACACATGCAATGTAATTTTTGATATTCAAAGGATGAATTAATTCCATCTGATTCTTTTCACTCAAATTAGAAGTATTCAATATTACACGTAATACAATGTTAACTCCTGATTAAAAACTATTGAAAATTTCTATTTAAAGACGAAAGTAAAAATCAAAATTTTAACAAAATTATACTGGTATGTTCCCTTACATTTCAAACTTTTGAAACACTGACCCAATATCACAAAGTACATACTTAATAGGCATGAAGGTGTCTCCGTGTGTCGTATCGCCCATACTGACGCTCTGTTGCACCTTCCCATTGTCTCGTGTGGGAACCTCACCCTGATATAACACAATCATCATGACAGATTTTTTTCTTCCAAATATTTTACTTAATTTTCTGCTCCTAAAATTTTCTTTATATCACAGATTATTTTAATGCCAAAAATATTTGCAATTTACTTACACAATCAACATAAACATTAATTTAGCTGTTTTACATTATGATATTTTCAGAACTCCCTAAGGTTTCCTGAAAGAATATCCTTAAAATTGTTTTAACAAAAAGGAAAATCTCAAATAATTTAACTGAGTGCATTATAATTTTATAAGTCCTGTTTTACATACTGCACACATTAACACCTACAACAATCAAGTTAAAATCTCAAGAGAAAATACAGTAAGTATGAATATCTCCTTCTTTCCTTGTATCTATGACATGGAAGGGGATTTCCTGTCCACCTATGTGTTTCTCATGACAATAAACTTAACACACCTCATCATCATACTCCCTTCGTACAGCATCACTCAGTTCTCGTTTGAGCGTTGTCACATGGTGTTTGTGGGATTCAACATCCTCTTCAAGAGCTTTTATTTTGGCGTATGCTTGCTGCTGAGCATCAACGAATGCACCAACCAGATTCTGTAATTAAATATCATATTTATAATAAAATACCCAGTTGATGTTCAAGAAAAAAAAATGGAAATATACTGAGAAGGTATTTTAGTGTTTTTCATGCTTAATTGAAAATAGTTTATTATAAGCACTAAACATAAATTCGCCATGTTTCTGCATGTTACAGAAAACATGTCATGTGTAAATTATCACTGAATGCCAGAAAAAGAAGTTTGTCAATAGAGGTATACAGTAGTTTCTATTACCCTAACTATGAGTAGACTTATATCATGATCAGCCTTCAGATCAATCTTACGTAGCACTGACTATAGACTAAGACTAGTCTTGGACTGATTTTATTTAGCACTGATTATAGACTATGGCTAGTCTCAGACTGATTTTACTTAGCACTGATTATAGACTATGACTAGACTCGGACTGATTTTACTTAGCACTGATTATAGACTATGACTAGTTTCGGACTGATTTTACTTAGCACTGACTACAGACTATGACTAGACTCAGACTGATTTTACTTAGCACTGATTATAGACTATGACTAGTTTCGGTCTTATTTTACTTAGCACTGACTACAGACTATGACTAGACTCAGGCTGATTTTACTTAGCGCTGATTATAGACTATGACTAGTTTCGGTCTTATTTTACTTAGCACTGACTACAGAATATGACTAGACTCAGACTGATTTTACTTAGCCCTGATTATAGACTATGACTAGACTCGGGCTGATTTTATTGAGGACTGATTATAGACTATGACTAGGTTCGGACTGATTTTACTTAGCACTGACTACAGAATATGACTAGACTCAGACTGATTTTACTTAGCAGTGATTATAGACTATGACTAGTCTTGGACTGATTTTATTTAGCACAGATTATAGACTATGGCTAGTCTTAGACTGATTTTACTTAGCACTTATTATAGACTATGACTAGACTCGGGCTGATTTTATTGAGGACTGATTATAGACTATGACTAGTCTTGGACTGATTTTATTTAGCACAGATTATAGACTATGGCTAGTCTCAGACTGAATTTACTTAGCACTGATTATAGACTATCACTAGACTCAGACTGATTTTACTTAGCCCTGATTATAGACTATGACTAGCTTCAGATTGATTTTACTTAGCACTGATTACAGACTATGACTAGACTCGGGCTGATTTTATTTAGCACTGATTATAGACTATCACTAGACTCAGACTGATTTTACCTAGCACTGATTATAGACTATGGCTAGTCTCAGACTGATTATACTTAGCACTGATTATAGACAATGATTAGTCAGACTGATTTTACTTAGCAGTGATTATAGACTATGGCTAGTCACAGACTGATTTTACTTAGCACTGACTACAGAATATGACTAGACTCAGACTGATTTTACTTAGCCCTGATTATAGACTATGACTAGTCTTGGACTGATTTTATTTAGCACAGATTATAGACTATGGCTAGTCTCAGACTGATTATACTTAGCACTGATTATAGACAATGTCTAGTCAGACTGATTTTACTTAGCAGTGATTATAGACTATGACTAGTCTCAGACTGATTTTATTTAGCGCTGATTATAGACTATGGCTAGCCTCAGACTGATTTTACTTAGCCCTGATTATAGACTATGACTAGTTTCGGACTGATTTTACTTAGCACTGACTATAGACTATGGCTAGACTCGGACTGATTTTATTTAGCACTGATTATAGACTATGACTAGTCTCGGACTGATTTTAGCACTCTGGTAGTATTTGTGCTAGTCGTCGCACTTTTCACTTTCATCAATTCAGTCCTATCTCTTGCTCTTGTTCATTGATCACACAAGCAGTACTAGTTATACAAAACTGAAGTATGAACCATACATTCATTCAATACATGTATACATTTTTTATGCAAATTGAGCATAACATGTCCTATTTAAAACCCTTTTATGAGAAAAAGAAGACCTTCTGCTGATAATTTTATACAGGTCTCCCTGTATTATGTGTATCCATCCAGACGTTTTTTTTCGAGGTATTAACACTACTTTTGTCCAGGTAAACTATTCTATCAAGGTGTCACAGTCAAAATCTAAATATTTTACCTGACAAGCGATCAGTTCCGGACCTGCCTTCCCCACGTCTGTTGGAATAAAGTCAGCATTCAACAACATTTTGGAGAGAGAAACATCTCGACCCTGGAGTCCTCTAGAGAGGGATAACTCTTGTCTAACCTGTCAACAAAAACACATACTAATTTGTTGGGTGTAAAATACATGACTAGATCACCTAGACAGTACTCTGAAATGTGTTAATACTGTAACCTATATAAAGAATCTTTAAAATAGATTATTATTATCAACCCTAACCCTAAATTGAAATTATAAAACTTTCCTGTGTCTTTATATCAAATTATTAACTGACACATATCATACAGATGAGAGATATAGATTTCTACAATAGGGGTATTTAAGAAAACATTTGAAAGACAATAATGCATCATCAAGATAATCAATAAAATGATTATTTCTCTTAATGACATAGATCATATGGAATGACACATAACGATTTGTTTATGGAATAAAAATTAGATAAATAAATATACACATGGGTTGTCCATTAATACCTGATCTAGGGCACCTTCCACTGAGCGTATGTACATCGTTAAAATCTCCTTGTCCCTGCAAAACAAACGGACAACTTTGAAAGGGATCTCAAAAAATATTCCAATAAAGTAAATATAGGGAAATTTATAAGGATTACCGGCACATTAAATTTCAAGTACTCGCCTTCTCATTCCAAGCTCAGACAGATTTGAAATATTTGAAGCTGCCTGAGACTTATATAAATAAAACATTATAATATAAGTTTTAAATATGTTTTTTTTTTCAAAGTTATGGAGCCTTTTATGGAAAATATGGACACTCATAAAGAAGATATAGAAAGGTAAAAACAAAATGTGGTCGATATCTTAGCTTTGTTAAATGCCATCTGTATAGATGAAAAAATCACCTTGCCACAGTTCTCAATGCCCGTTCAGCATCAATGACATTAGTGTTGAGAGATTTCTTCTCCCCTTCAATGGTGATCACTTGTCTATTCAGCTGTCGAAGGGTTTGCTCTTTCTTCTTCATCTCAGACTTGTGCTCAGCAAGTCCCTGAAACAACAAACTCTGTCTACTGAACAGCCTCATCCCACCAATCTTATGATACCAAATCACATTCTAACAATACATCTACTGACTTTGAAGTGTTTTTGTTGACAGACACCATGTTACAGGAATTATTTTTGTGTTCACTGCTACACACTGGCAATATGTCTCTAGGTTACTTTTCTAGCTAGTGCAGCTTAAATTATAAAACAACACCACCTTTTCTTGAACTGAGATTTTGAATTATCCCGTGAGACTATTAACATTAATATCTTTGCAAGCATGTTATTTTCTTATATTTAAATGTGTTCTTTGTATTTAAATCTTTCAAATCTATAACTAATGGGGGGAAGTTTACTAGAACAGTGTATTTCAATGTTTCAATCACATCCGACACCCCAGCCATACCCGACACCCCAGCCATACCCGACACCCCAGCCATACCCGACACCCCAGCCATACCCGACACCCCAGCCATACCTGTACAGCACTGGTAAGAATCTGCTCCTTCTCCATGCCCTCCGTAGTATACAGGTCAAGACGAAGGGTCAGTTCTTCCAGTTGTCTCCCCTGCTCCAACAACAGCTGCTGGGCCTGTTGTTCCCGTCGTAAGGCATTGTTTAGCTCAAGACAGACACTCTCGAACTTATCCATCGATACAAATTGAGGATCCTGATAAAATATTTAAAAAAACTTTTATGATAACTACTATTTAAAACATAAAATCTGACAAAACAAGGACAATATGAACGAAGAATCCGAGACTCTGCGAGATAAAAATTGAGAAAAGCTACAAAATAGTGAACTTATTTAATAAGTAACAAAACAGATTGATCAAACTATTAACAGCTTTTGGAGTTTGTTACATGGATAAAAATGGGATCTTTGTTTCATTGCAGTAATTCATTTTCAGAAATGTTAAATAAAATAGATAAATTATGAAAAGGTAGGCATAATGATCCAGAATTATAAGTGATGTAACAACTGTTTTATCTTCCTGTCTAGTGCATGCAACATTTGCTGCCAAAAATAAGATAACATTGCTTTAATACTGATGAGTTACAAAACTTTAGAACCAGTAGTATTTAATAGTTATTTTGGAAGCAGTTGATAAAATAGCAGATTCCGAATACATTAATCAATCTGTACTCAAACACAACATGCTGTAACATGACTGATTTATTGACGGATCTATCCATTAAAAAATCATTCAATAATTAAATATGCTATTCTCTAACGCACTGTCCATCAATGAGGAGTTTTGTTTGTTTACATTAGGGTGTAGATGAGATCAGACACTGTCTGTTTTATAACTCTATGTACAGACTACTATTAGATCATCATTGAGGCCACAGACACGCAATGAGATAACACTGGTGATGGATTTAATTTTAAAATGCCTTAACTCATTCACCCCTGAAATTTCATAATGAACTATTCCAACCTTTGAATTGAAAGAGTTCAAATGTGTCTTCAGGGGTGAATGAGTTAAGCTTCTAATGACAAAGACTAAAGTCGTCTTCTATCTCAAAAATGGTATACTTACAGGTGGCTGAAGCATTCATTCAAACCTAAGAGTCCTAATGGAAGATAACATGCATTTCTGGCATAAAAATTGTCAACCTAACTATTCACCTCTGAGATCTGGTTTTTGAGTGCTTCGTCACGGCCAGCCTCTGTGACCTCTTCCTTGAGCCTTTCCACCTCGACCAAAAGTCCACGGCGCTCTATCTCCACTGCATGAAGGCGTTGTGTAAAGTTTAGGATCTGACTCTGCAGAGCTCCCAAAATGTCCTGTAACAAGATAGCAATTCTCTTCAGCAATGATCAACTTAAATGATAACTAGAATTTTGTTTTTGTTCACAAAAACATGTCTCCCCTTATTAGCCAATAGACAAACTTCGGTATAAAAAAATAACAAAGGGCCACATCTCTTTATATAGTGGGGCACTAGACCCAAATTTAGAATTCAACACCCCTACTTCCCAAGATACATTAAAACTGTGGCAAGTTTGGTCACTGGTTATGCTGTGGACAAACTTCGGTATTCAAAATAAACAAAGGGACATAACTCTGTATATAGTGGGGCACTAGACCCAAATTTAGAATGCAACACCCCTACTTCCCAAGATACATTAAAACTGTGGCAAGTTTGGTCAATGGTTATGCTGTGGACAAACTTCGGTATTCAAAATAAACAAAGGGACATAACTCTGTATATAGTGAAGCACGAGACCTAATTCCAGTGCACTGCACACCTTCTGCGGGTGATGCATGCATACCTAAAGTTTCATCAAGATATCTTTATCTTTAACGGTTTTAAAGTTATGGCCCGGACAAGTTGCCATAACAAGAACCAGAATAAGAACAATACTAATACAATATTCGAAGGGGAGACATAATAAAGAAAATACAGAAAAAACTTCCTGTTTTACAGTACATGTGTATTTACACTTTCGCATATTCAAATGAGAGTGACTACCCTTACATGGAAGAGGGCTATGTGATTCCTTTATTCAATGATCGTAACATCACTTACGTGAAGTGGTGCTCTAAACTGCCTTTGTTCATAATCAACAATGACATCCTTTACAAAAATGTTACCGTGGCAGTGCTTTGTACTGCCTTTATTCAAATGAATGTTGCCTTCTTTACCTAGTGTGGTGCTATCACTGTTAACATGACAATGATCTCCCCTACCTGTTGGTTCATGCTGCCTGTGATCCATTGACAATTACCTCCCTTACCTATTACAATTTTGTATGCCGACCATTAAACTGCAATAACCTCCATTACCTGTAGTGGTGCTATGTGCTGCCTCTGTTCCAAGGGTTTTCCAGCACATGTCTTGGACAGACCTCTGCCAACCATTCGCATCAAAGAATTGCGTTCACGGTATGTTGTGTTGGGGTTTCCTGTCACGCCCTCAAAATGACGGCCCAGTTTGTCAATCAGTTTTGTGAATGTGTTCCTTGCTGCATTAACTAGTGCCCGTGATTCAGTCGCTGTGAATAGATTGTTAAGTCCAGCAATACACTGTCGTAATTAGCCATATTTAAATCTTCGAACTAGTGATCATCAGTCAAATGATAGATTCATTAATATGAAACAACTGATTAAGTATTAATCTACATCTACGTTTTCAAAAACACAAAATTAGAAACAAGCCTTATCACAATTGTGTATCTTTAAATATTTTACACTATATCTGTACAACAATTATCATTAATGAAGAGTCAAGCTTACAGATCATGTTTTACCATACCCTGGTTGTATGTGAGAATAATGTATTGAGAACAAGAGCACAGGGCAAAGTGATATCGTGGAAATGGCAGGGATTTCCTGGTTTCAAATACAATTATCGTACTATAATACCAAGTTACCAGGTATGTAATACAGGAGGGATTTTTTAACTCACCTCTCCGACCTATTTCAATTAAGGCCCCTTTTCCCCAATTTGACAAGGATAGTTCCAAAAGTTTGATTTTTTTTTTTAGCTTTTTGACATTCTTTCTTTGCTGATAATTTATGAAATACTAAACTATAGTAAATAAGACATATTTATGAGTTATATCAGTAGATCAGATATTATTATGAATAATTCAAAAGAATTTTATTAATGTTGTCGAGGTCATAAGGTTTTCTCCTTAACACATAAACTTTGACCTGACTCTTCATATTACATATGACCTTACCTCCATCTTTGTTCTTGATGTGACCTACGACCTCAAGCAGTTCTGACATGGACGAGACAACCGAGTGGAGGAGATCGGGACTGGAAACCCATTTAACAATATCAAGGCGAGACTGACGCTCATCTGTCTCCAGGTCATCATCCACGCCATCTACAGAAAACAATGTAGTTCAGTATACCATCATCCACACTGTTCACAGTCCGCTATGTAGTTCAGTTTACCATGTCTGACCTCAGAAACACCATATCCCTTATAAACGCCCCTATATCTATCATCTTTCTGATCTGAAAACCCTGTCCCTTCACTGTAATTTACAGACTTACTTGAAATTGATGTTGGAAATAAAAAAAAAATCCTTTATAAATCCATGTTTTAAATTCTTTGGGACCTTTTGATTAAACACAAGTCATTTCTAAATAAATAGTATAGGTTTCTTTTTTTACATTTAGTTTAGTTTGTATGTTAATAGTTTTCCTTTTTTATGAGAAACAACTTGCATTTCTCACAAGTCACAGAGTAAAAGACAGGTCAATGTGCTGTCATCATGTTATCAGTCTACACTGTAATTTAAATCAAATCAAACTCATTCATACTGTCAATTACCTTAACTAAAAGATGTATTATTTCATTTTAATTCATGTAAGGAACGATTACAAATTCATGTAACTAACATATATGCATTTTGTCACAATTAAGCATGGCAATCAAGCTGTTTTCACAAAATTCCATAAATTCCAATCCTTGTGACTGAATCGCAGCTGGCAGAAAAATTAGATTAAGAAAGCTTGGTCTTTGTGTTATGCCATCTACATGAGTATATTTGACATCACACACAATAGGTTATGAGCTAGGACGAATATTCCTTACCTCTGAAAGATGTGACAGCTGGCCGCCCTCCTCCAGTACACACAGCTATGCCAGTATGGTAGAACACAGAGGTATCATACGTCACAAACATTTTAGTACACGAGCGTCCCAGATAACGTAATCTGTTAGCCGCTAGAACGGCTATGGCAGCTGTACGGAACACCAACAACGGATGTCTTTTCCTTTGGATTTGAGTTTTACTCTTCATGTCTTTCTCATCTTGCATTTCAGATGCTAATGTGTCAACGAGCAGTTCAACTCGTTCACGAAACATATCCCACATACACAACTGTTCTTCCAGTAGGTGGCGCTGTGAAGCAAGTCGTGTAGCTCGCGAACACATCGGGAACAGTGCTCCTGCGAGTAGACTACACGCACCTAAAAGTGATGCATTCTGTGTCTGTGTCTCTATGACCTGAGCCCGGAGGTCGGAACACTCCGTCTCCAGTCCCTGTTTCACTGTTCCTGTCATGCGAATCTTGTCCCAAGCCTGATCTGCCATTGCTTGGCTCTTCTGTAATGACCAAAAACATTAACACCTGCGTCAACAAGCCATTCATTTATAAATATATCTCACAACTTTTTCAATTTCTTCATATATCTTTAATTCATATTTATGTATCTTATGTTTTACACAGTTCTTCCCATAACAGCAAAATATACCCCTTCCCCACACAATAAAAACATGATTATCACATTGTTTTACTTATACTGAGGCATGTCAGAATTTCAATCCAGGAATAATTTTTAATTTAGAAATCTTGGTCACTTTCCTGCAGAGAAGCTATCGCAGAAATGCATTGAGAACAGGCAAATGTTTTGTTTTTTTATTTCAGTGTGAGATTGAAGTTCCCAAAGTTACATTGAGTCAGATGGCAGCTTTAATAGTTACAGTCATCTCTATATTTAAGAGCCTCTATGATATAGAGAGCAAACTGCAACTTAGTCGGAAGTTGTAGCGCAGAGCTAAGCATACCTCTGAGTAATCTGAAGCTCAATGAAGAGCTGTGATAACTATAACCTTTTTAGGAGGCACTGTGTTTACCTTAAAACATGACTTACTCAGTTAGGACCTATGATTACAAATGAGCAAATCTGTGGTAAAGAGCTACAGTTTCATTTGAGCAAGACTAAAGTACAGTTAAAAGCTGTACTGACTTTGAGCAAGATACAGCGAGATAGTGGTACATTTAAGGGATGCTTACTTTTGAGCATCCTGTAGTATGGTTAGTTGCTGTACTACAGTAGCGAGATACAGCGAGATACAGAGAGATACAGTGAGATACAGCGAGAAAGTGGTACATTTAAGGGATGCTTACCTTTGAGCGAGACTGAAGTATGGTTAGTTGCTGTACTAGCGAGATACAGAGAGATAGTGGTACATTTAAGGGATGCTTACCTTTTAGCGAGACTGTAGTATGGTTAGTTGCTGTACTAGCGAGATACAGCGAGATAGTGGGACATTTAAGGGATGCTTACCTTTGAGCGAGACTGAAGTATGGTTAGTTGCTGTACTAGCGAGATACAGCGAGATACTGGTACATTTAAGGGATGCTTACCTTTGAGCGAGACTGAAGTATGGTTAGTTGCTGTACTAGCGAGATACAGAGAGATAGTGGTACATTTAAGGGATTCTTACCTTTGAGCGAGACTGTAGTATGGTTAGTTGCTGTACTAGCAAGATACAGCGAGATAGTGGTACATTTAAGGGATGCTTACATTTGAGCGAGACTGAAGTATGGTTAGTTGCTGTACTAGTGGTACATTTAAGGGATGCTTACCTTTGAGCAAGACTGTAGTATGGTTAGTTGCTGTACTAGCGAGATACAGCGAGATAGTGGTACATTTAAGGGATGCTTACCTTTGAGCAAGACTGTAGTATGGTTAGTTGCTGTACTAGCGAGATACAGCCAGATAGTGGTACATTTAAGGGATGCTTACCTTTGAGCGAGACTGTAGTATGGTTAGTTGCTGTACTAGCGAGATACAGCGAGATAGTGGTACATTTAAGGGATGCTTACCTTTGAGCGAGACTGAAGTATGGTTAGTTGCTGTACTAGTGGTACATTTAAGGGATGCTTACCTTTGAGCGAGACTGTAGCTCCGTTAAAAGCTGTGCGTAGTGTGCCTCGATCTCCTCCTTCTGTTTGTGCCAGGACTGCTCACGTTCTTTTGTAAGTGATGTGAGTTTGTTGAGCTGGTCCTCATGAGAACGTTGCATGTCTTCGACCAGTTCCTCCTTAGATTTCAATGCTTCCTCTAAATGAGTTGTCTGAAGTTATCAAAAGTTTACATAAGTTTTAGACCTTCTACAAGTCATATTTTCAATATGGTTAGTTTTCAAAGAGTGCATGTTTTTCTCCAATTATTCTTTATTCAGTGCAGACAGAAGTTGTCTCTTTAGTCCGGAACTATACCAGTGTTTACAGCACACCTGAGTTAAAACACATGATTGCCTCTCGGCCAACCATCCTGGCGACTGATTATTTCTAACATAAACAACTTTCTTAAAATGTACAATGTCCTCCAAATAACTTGTTTTCAATTATCAAAATTATTATGATAGATTACATCTAAGTGCTATTTTAAAATAATTTAATAAAAAAAAAATGGATTCATTTGCCTTTAAAATCTCTTCTTTAGCGAGAATATAATTTTCCTTTCCCTGTGTGATACATTTTTATTTTTCGAACTTCTTAGTTGATAAATTACCTTTTCCTCTGACCTCTGGACAATGGTTACCAAACTGGACACTTGTTCATACACAAGGCTGGTCAGGTCAGCCCAGGAAAACTGTGTATAGCTTGGCTCTTTTGTGGGGATACGCCCAGCTAACAAACGATGATGCATGCCGTGCAGAAAGGCCAATTTTTCCTGAAAGTATAAAAATTACATTTTATCTGTATCAAGAAAGAAAAAAAAACATATTTCAAATATGGCACAAAAAAGTATTATTTTATATGTTATTTATAATTAAGCTATATTTCATTAAGAAGAGGTGAACATTCATCTTTTATTTACATATTCTTATCTAAGAAAAAGCACAAGTTTACATTTGGGATTGTTCATTTTTGTCTAATTTATATCAAATTTGACCACAGAAAATCTATTTTGTGTGATAGTGATTGTTTAACAAGGATTTATTTAGTGTTAAATCATGCTTTACTTTTTTTAAGATCATGATGATGGAAAAGACATTTTCCCCATTACAGTTAGGGATTTAAATGTAACGAAATCAGTTGATACAGTAATCAAAAAACAGGCTACTTACCTCGTCTTCAGCTTTATGTCGTTTAACTAGCTTCATAATCTGGAAAACAAAAACTGAATTAAATATTTGTGGTTTTAATTTTACTCTTTTACATCTGTTTCATGATAGGACCATAAATTCTGACACTGGATCTATTTTCCAAATAAATATGCTATGGTATAAAAATAGCGACAATTACAACCAAGTGAAAAATAAAGAACAGACATATATAGCAATTATATCTCCTACTGGAGATATTTCTGCTATGTTCCCAGCCTGTAGAATAAATGAAGTTGTGGGATACATTGTTTTTTGACAGAGTAACTTTAGAATACTTCCTATTAATGGTGTTGAAATTTCAACTCCGTAAAATTGTTCCGGTAACAAATCCACTAGAGTTTTACGCTGTGTAATTAAAGATGGTTCCTGAAATAGACAGTCTTGAAATAGACGGTCCTAAAACTAGACAGATCATCTCTTGGTGAAGGAGGCATGCTATCTAACTCTTGGTTAAGGAGGCATGCTATCTAATTGTAAAATACATCTCCTTCTAAAAGAGTTCCACAATAAACTCATGTACTTTTGGAACATTTGATTCTAACACAAATTACAAATATAATGCATAAGGCAGCATCTTCATTTTAGGCTGACCCAAGCCCATTATTGTATAGAGGTCACGGACAAACATCATTATAGGTTACAGGAGTATGATCCAGCTATTGTATAGAGGTCACGGACAAACATCATTATTGGTTACAGGAGTATGACCAGCTATTCGTATAGAGGTCACGGAAAAACATCATTATTGGTTACAGGAGTATGATCCAGCTATTGTATAGAGGTCCCGGACAAACATCATTATTGGTTACAGGAGTATGACCAGCTATTTGTTTAGAGGTCGCGGACAAACATCATTATTGGTTACAGGAGTATGACCAGCTATTCGTATAGAGGTCACGGAAAAACATTATTATTGGTTACAGGAGTATGATCCAGCTATTGTCTAGAGGTCACGGACAAACATCATTATTGGTTACAGAAGTATGACCAGCTATTTGTTTAGAGGTCACGAACAAACATCATTATTGGTTACAGGAGTATGATCCAGCTATTGTGTAGAGGTCACGGACAAACATCATTATTGGTTACAGGAGTATGATCCAGCTATTTGTTTAGATGTTTCAGACATTACACAGTTTATAAAGTCTCTATATCACTCTCCACTACCCACCTCCTCAGAGAGTTCATGGACGCGTTTCCTGTCCTTGGTTTGGTTTGAACTTTTACTCTGTAAGTCCATCTTCAGTCTGGCCATGTGACTCTCCAGGGCTCCATACTCAGATCGCACACGATTCAACTCTTTGGCTGTCCGAGTGTAGTTCTTCTGGGCATCCTGTAATGGAGAAATATCAATAATATACATCACAAAACATTATCCATAGTTTTGCCCATAAATCTGTTGTATTTTTTTTAATCTCCAAATACCTATTTTGTGATAACTCATAAAATATATTGTTTTCAATTTTAAGCATGTTTTTGCGGGGTTTTTTCAGTCTAAATAATGCACCCTGCATCACCCCCATACCAATAAGTGGAAATTTAACTTACATTATGTCCCAACTTTAATGGAAATGAAGCTAAACGCATAGTCTAACCCAAGTCAGTGAAGCAGAAAATATACTGGTAGGTCACAGTGACCCTCCTCAAGAAGTATCACCATATGAAGTTTGATGACTATTGAACTGGCAATACAAGAGAAATGGAGTGAAACACAAAGTTCAACAACAGAAATGGAGCTTTACCTCAAAGTTTAACGAGGGTCAGTGAGAAGAAAATATAGGTCACAGTGACCAACATTTCACATAAAGGTGTAGTACTCTTGGAGGTATATCTACATATTAAGTTTGACGACTGCAGGAATTGAAGTAATGGAGCTAAACGAAAACTTTAACCAATATGTTGTTTATATAAACCAAAAGAAAAGGAAAACATTTAATCTCCACCTGTGCAAATGAGTGTTGCATAATAAAAGAACTTCTTCCTGAATGAATATAACCACCCTTAATGTTTACCTATAATGATTAACATGATTTGTTTTGTAAATCTCCCATGATCACAATATATATATATCTGACCATTTTACTGATACCTACCTCTAAAGATTTGTCCTTGGCCCAAATCATCTCCTTGAGCTGGTCAACTTCCCTGTTCAGGCTGTCTGTTTGCTTCTTCATCCGTCCAAGCTGTTAAGAAATATATTCATATCTTAACCAGTTTCTTTTGGTAAGAAGGATTTCACTGACTTAGATCCCGCATAATGTGCATATATGTGATAACAAATCTCTTTATACAAAAGTGGATACAGTTTAGATAAAATATCCCATTAGTGTTGATCACCACAAAATCACATCCAGTAGTAAAATCACTGCTTTCTGTGGCCATGTCTTAAAAGTCTTCTAAGCTTATGTAAATCTACATGTTCTTCATCATTTTCACAGAATTGAAACAAAATCCAAATTAAATCTTCCATCAATATGTACTCATATTGATTTGTATATAATATATATACTACCAGGTATATCTTTTGTGGTTTTTTTTTTTTATATTTATAATGATTTTCTAACCAATTAATCATCCCTTTTAACTTAAATCTGAAGACCTAGTCTGGATTTTAGTTGTCTTCCCAAATGAAGAAGAAACAATCCCTGATTCAGAACTGACCACCTCACCTCCCCTGACGTGGTGTCCAGTCGCTTTTTGTATTCTGCCAGCGTTTGTCTTAAGGACTCCAGTACCGCAGAAGGATTGGGCTGTTTTGAGGAATCTTTCTTTGATTCTGTACCAAAAAACAAAAATCTTTATAATTTGAAATTATTGCAAAAACAGTCAACACAACACAGAATACATTTATTTTCAGCAGGAGCGAACTAACTGTGTTTGGAAGTCTCCACACTGGAAAAGTATGGATACACATCGTACATGTTTAATAACACTGAAGCCCTATAAGTCTAGCTACCTTTAATTTCACCAATAAGAGACAGGTGGACCTATTACAGAAATAGTTTTGTATAAAATCAAAATGCTGAAAACACAGGGGAATGATTGATGGAGATGAAAGTAAAATATAATTGTTCTATAGACGCCATTTCATGAGGACGGAAATTGGTCAGTTGTACTTGCATTCTAATATTTCTGTATCCTTAGGTGAATATCGGCAAGATTAAGAGTGTCATTCATCGAACGATATTACTCAATGTGGTATCAAAATACATGAAGAACCTTTTAACAGTGAAATATAAGGTATTACTGGTCCAAAAGGGAAAATTAAGTTGAATTTTCTCTAATGTAATTTTTATTTTTCACACATAACCATCCATCCAATCTGAGAGCAGATTGAGTGTGAGACATAACAAACATTGGGTACTCTCACATAACAGACATTGGGTACTCTCACATAACAAACATTGGGTACTCTCACATAACAAACATTGGATACTCTCACATAACAAACATTGGGTACTCTCACATAACAAACATTGGATACTCTCACATAACAAACATTGGATACTCTCACATAACAAACATTGGGTACTCTCACAAAACAAACATTGGGTACTCTCACATAACAAACATTGGATACTCTCACAAAACAAACATTGGGTACTCTCACATAACAGACATTGGGTACTCTCACATAACAAACATTGGGCCCCCTCACATAACAGACATTGGGTGCTCTCACATAACAAATATTGGGTACTCTCACATAACAAACATTGGGTTCTCTCACATAACAAACATTGGGTACTCTCACAAAACAAACATTGGGTACTCTCACATAACAAACATTGCGTACTCTCACATAACAAACATTGGGTACTCTCACATAACAGACATTGGGTCCTCTCACATAACAAACATTGGGTACTCTCACATAACACTTGCCCTGAGGTTTTCTTACTTTGACATTACAAGTCTGCATTTCTTATTTCCAAACTTTTGGGCAGGAGATGAATTATCAGTTATATATCTTCTTTATAATGAAATAGGACACCCAGTCTAGCAATGGTATGGCAGACCTAAGGAAAACAAAGTCTACGTACTGCCTTTGCTGGGTTCTACAGAGAAGTTATGGAGAAGTAGTTCTAATTCCCTCATGTTTCCTCCATATGTCTCCTCCAGGTATATCTGGCGTTTCTTGGCCTTGGTCAGCTCATCCTTGAGCTCTGTGAAGTTTTTCTGGTGCTGCTCCAGCTGCTTGGAGAGATCGCCTATCACAGTCTTCTTGCCCTCCACTTGAGCAGTCAGCTGCTTCTTGACCGAGCTATACTCCCGCTCCACCCTACAGAACAGTGTTGAATAATTTTTCAATGTACATTCTGTTGATATAATCAAAGGCTGATTATGAAACTACAATCTGTTCTTATAAACTACAATTATACTTCATTTATAACCCAAAGTCAATTTCTGAACATATGTATTTTAACTAAAGTCCCATCTAATCCTAGCAAGATACCATTAGTACCAGCTACACTGTATTTGCATGATTTTTTATCAGAACTGGGTTGATCGCCGGAAACTAGGTAACTCAATTGTTTAAAGCATCTTTCTAGAGTTCTGAGGGTTCCGGGTTCAAATCCTGGTCTTGTTGCGCAGTTTTCTTCTCTTGTTACATTTGGTGTCCAAGTAACTTTTATTAGAATATTTCTGTGATCTGGCACTTACTTGTCCAGTTTGTTGGAGAGATCTTTGCCGTTCTTGCGCTCCTCTTCGTAGCTATGCTCCAGCTCTCGGATCTGTTTCGTGAGGCGGTCTATAGCTTTGTTAGCCTCATTGCTGGCCGACTTCTCCACCTCCATAGCTCCTTCCAAATCTCGCACCCTCAACTATGAAAACGAAAAACATCATTTTGTTTCTTAAATAAATTATGAAGTTTTAAAATAGCATTTACAGTTTAAAATTGTATTAATTCAAACGATATTTTTAAACAATAAACCAAAATGTATGCTTCTGATTTCATATTCTCAACTGTGACAATTTTTAGCAGTTTCAAGTGTTTTTTCACTCAAAATTTCTAATACAGTAGAACCATTTGGTCAACGAAAATTAAGTAACGTAGGTGACAGCACTTGCATGGTATAAAAGTCATTATCATTGAAGTTCAAACTATGCGACTTACTGAGAATCACATCACAAATGTTCTGTTGCAGTGGACAAGTGTTCACATGTATCACTCTGAGAAATTAGTCAAAAAAGACTCAGCAAGTTTTATTTCTGTTCTCATGTTAATTTTGCATAATAACTATAATTTTAAATTACTATCGCTCATTATCTCTTCATTACATAATATGTATTTCATTTACAGGCATATCTTCACAACCTATAGAAACACAACACTAACATTGTAGTTCCCCACAATGATATAAACACATTACCTGTACAATCTCAGAGTTAAACTTTGATTCCAGGTGTGCAGCTCTCTCTGCCTCTATACTCTCCTCAATCGTTCGTAGGCGCTGGAGAGCTGTCTGCAAGAAACGAAACAAACTTGCCATTGCTTAAATTGCCTTGAGAATAATAATAATAATAGCTACAGTAGGAACATATTATTATAACTCAATAACGGTTAATGCCTGTTCATTTTGACCCTGCGGTTGTTTAATGTTGTGAATAGTTACAATAAATCACTTAAAATCTATTATGAGATAAATGTTATCTTGCTAAATTGCAAGGTTAACAGGAAACATATTGTGAATATTCATTTGACACATTAACTTTAAATCAAGTAATAAACTAGGTGTTACTCCTCAGGAATAAAGCTTTGTAAGAACAAGCATGAAATTAAACCACCCATGAAAAGTGAATGATTTACGGTAAGTTTATAGAATATCCTGTTTTTCTGATGATCCCAATGACTATACAACTCAATCCAAAACTTCCACTTATCTTAGATATTTTTCCAGGCGTATGTAGTACGTTTACAAGCACACTAGTCTAGAAAATCTTGACATTAAAGCTCACAAATATATCAATAGACACAAGTCATACCTCTAGATCTTTCTTTAGGCGATCCTCTCTTTCCTTAGCATATTCCATTTCTGTGAGTGTTCTCCTTAAATTTTCCAACTGATTTCTTTGCTCGTCTGTTCAAAACAAAACATATACTAATATATTAAAACACATATTTTCCATTCTTAACTAGAATTTTTTGGATACACATAATATTTCGAGTACATGATTATTTTTTAGTATTGCGACAGTTAAAATAAGAGCCCTGCAAGTGAATTTCTGGAGAATCATTTTACCGGTAAGCCAGAGTTTCAGAAGATTGACACAGCCAGCTGCTGCATGCCTCTATATAAAAGTCCTAATGATTGGTGAGCTTGACAAAATTATCTTGATTTTCAATCTGAAGATGCGTGAATGTTTGCTTACTCTCCAGTTCTTGGTTCTTCTCTTGAAAATCAGACAGAGTACTGTAAAAACAATAAACAATAGGATGATAAAAATATATACATGTATGTAAAGAGCAATCTGGTGCACTACTGTTTCATGTTAAATATAGTAACTACTTCCAAATCCAAATATAAATTTGTTTAATTATTAATTTAAGATAATGTGTATCAAACTAATTTTATAACACACAGTACACACCCATCTTGCTGAAGCACAATAGCATCAAGTTTGTCTCTCTCTGCCCTCAGTATTTCCTGCTCTGTGTGACTCTTGGCTATTTCATGGTCCTGTGTTAAGAATAAGTTGAAAGGTTATTTTATAAAATCGATTTAGAAATGTATTCCTTGTATTTTTTTGTAAATTAAATCAAATGGAAAACAACAAAAATATAATGTCACCTACCTATCCTCAAAATAAAAATTATATTCTTGACTTAATTAGCATATATGTTCTGTAAGTATGGTACCCTTTTAACATTTCAACTACAATAAAATACTGTAGACATTTGATTCAGTGATAAATACATCAACACATCCCTTTAAACAACAAACTAACCATGTCACTCATTGAAACATGGGTTATATACAGGATATATATATTAACGCACCTTCTCCTCCTTCTGTCGGTGGAGTTTGTTCGCTGTAGCTTCGACTTCTTCCCTAAGCTTGTTCCTTTCACATTCTGTCTTTCTCAGCATCTCTTCAAGGTCACTAATCTTCTCTAAAATTGAATTGTAAACTTTACAGTAATGTGAAATTCCATCATAAAGAAAGTATTATAAGCTAGTCCTGAAAATCTGGTTCAATAAATAAATAATAAATAAGAGATTTCTAAATGCTAGCTGAGAATGACTTATTTCTTAATAAATGGCTGGTTCATACATTGTCTAGTTTATGGAGGAATCGGTGATGTTTAGTATGCCATATGAATTTAAACTCAGTATGAAATATATAGAAATTTTATCATTTTTTGTTATTATGCAAGTCAGCATATCACAATTTTTTATGTTGAAGTAACACTTTGGCAGAGACAGCAGACCAAGAAAAGACAGAATTAGGATGGAGTATTTAGAAAGATTCAAACAGCGAGATTGGTAAAACCCTGTTTTTCAGAGCAGAAAGGGTTCCAGATTAGACAGGGTTGATATACTATAATATTTAAGAGGGAAATTCCAGGACCACATGTAAAACCCAGTATAGCCGGATTCAGAATAAGACAGATACATATATGCAAAAATACGTAATTTTGAAATGACAGCATTTCAACGGAAAGAGATGGTGAATATACTTCATTTGGAAGTCATAGAGGCAGATTTTTATATCAACATCTCTACTGAAGTAAACTAGATGATTAAGTTAATCATTCCTACTTCCTAAGTGTTCTCTTGACTCCTTGTAGGTGGATTCTTTTTCAAGTGTTGAATGTTTTTGTTGTGTAACATCACGACGTGTCTTTGTCAACTCAAATTCTAAGTTCTGTCTTGTAGCTTCGCCTTTTTCAACCTGGGCGCGAAACTTAGCCAGTTGGCTTTCCAAGTCAGCAATCTGCAATCACAAATAAAAGTAATATGACCTACCTTTATTTTGATGAAAAAGTCTATCGTTTCTGTATGAAATTGTTTAGCTTTAGTAAAGGAAAATATGTTTGATGCTATAGGTTTGATTGTGAACGACTCCCTCACTTAATGACCACGGACAACATGCAATATAAAAAGCTCTCTCTGTTATTGGTGGGTAAAAAGACCAAACTTAACCAAATATGAAACAGGTTAACAAGCTTTGCATTCAAATCTTAATTTTAGAATAGGAAAACATAACATTGTGACAAATGTCCATGCATCACGTTATATGATTTAGTTTACTGGTGTAAATACCTCAGCATTGTTTTTGCTGGCAGCATGTAAGCGTTCTTTCTCTACAGCATTTAAACGGCGTCTCACCTGTCCTACTGTTTCTGAAAAATAAACACAAGTCTATGAATAATGGAATGTTATTCCTGTGATCATGAGATCCAATCAGTTTTGTTAACGGTCGAGAAACTACCTTTCCAGGCTAAAACTTTGGTAAACTAATTTCAAAATTATTTAAAAAGTTGGGAATCCTGTACATGTATATTTGTCTATTCAGCTGGAATCTGTCAGGCAATGCAAGTGGGCCTTATATCAGTATCCCTGGCTGATTGGGTCTGATATGAAAAGTCATAGCAATGGTATCTGGTGTACAGAGTAAAGGGGACCAGCTAGACTAACCCTGCTCAGCGTGGACATCCAGTTGAAGCTGTTTGATTTGGGACCGTAACTGATTATTCTCTATGCGGTATTTCTCTTCCTGCATAGGAGTCGTAAAGATTTTCCAGTTCTGTCCATCACCACCAAAGTAATTGTCATCACCTTTCTGTAAACACATTGATAAAAGTTATTAAAAGCAAAATCTGTCAGGAAAAAAAAGGGAAAGAAGCAGAAAAAACCCATGTACATTGTAAATTTGCACTGTTTTATACAGTTGCATATAACATTTAATATATGGTAGTGATCATGAATTGTTTACAGTTAATCAAGGCATAATAGCTTTGAAGTTCTAGCATGCAAAGCAAATATTTATTTTCAGTTGTCAGGACAATTCCATATTGAAAATGTGCACTTTATGGGAAATATCATGGTTCATTAAATATCGATGAAACCCACTTCCTAACATTGCAATAAATATTTTATTAGAAATCATCAATAAAACCTATTTATGTATAACAATATCTATGAAATCTGAGTTGCTCTGCATAAACAAGTTTTTTTATCCTAACCTTGTAACCTGCCTCAAATTCAGTATGCACATGTGCATGTATTTTCTCTGTATAGAATCAATATATATAAAATCAGTACTCATAGTTGAATCATGATGATCACTTACTGTAGGTGTTGTTGGCAATGCTTCCCCATGGTTAATTTCTTGGGACTGGCCCTTCTCAGTCTCCATCATAACAGTCTATCTTGCAATTAATGCCTAAAATATTTGAAAATAATAATAATTATGAAATAAGTTTTTACAACTTATATCAAGGGGGGGGGGGGGGTCTTAATGTGGGAGGAAACTGGAGTAACTGGAGAAAACACACATGGTCGGGCATGCGCAGGTGCCCCCTTACTTTTTTTACATACGATCAGGGAATCGAACCCTGGCTGCTTTAAGCTTGGTGAAAGGCAAGTGTACTATCCACTGCACCACCCAACCATTGATTGATCAATATATTAATGTTGTATTGCAATACACTAATTCGATATTCATCATTTATACTCTTAAAACAATAATATAAATGGAATTACACACTTTGACACATACAGTAGGCCATATTTATACATTACAAATGGAAACCAGAAGTATATTTGAACAAGGCTAGGGGAGCATATGAAAGACCTACAATGGTGTGTTTAAGAAAATGAACCTTCACCAGATCAAAAAGAAAATTCACAGTATTTATAAGTATACAACAAAAGTGTAGTGACAAGACAACATCGATCAAGACGCAAGTGATTGTTTGGGGAGGAGATATATATCAACACGAGGGAATCTAACCAGAGATTTAGATAAAGGAAGAAGGCCGGGAGAAGAAGGAGGAGGTAATTATGAAGCAAGATCAGGGGGGTTAACCAGACTGATCACGGGTTTCCGTGGCATTATGATTAACGACAGACATCTGTCAATGAATATTTTTGGATACAGATATTTGAGTCCTGGACTCATGCTTTACCTGTTGGACTTGCAAACAATTTTAAACTCACTGTATGTTAAAGCAATGGGGCTCGTCAACAAATTAAAAATTATATTCAGGTCAAGTCTGAAAGAATCCTTTAAAAATCACTGGTGTCAAAAGTTTGGTTCTGAGGCAAGTTGGAGTCTGGCTTGTGGTTTATGTATACCAGCCCAGGAGCATATGGAGTGCTAAAGGAAAGTTATTCAAGCCATCCTTGAGAAAGTTGACGGACTGTCAGCATAACTCTCAGATTGGTATTAAAGTTCTTTACTACTTATATTAATAAATGTTACAGGTGATATAAGACATTATTACCCTTTTGAGAAAAATCTAGGAATCTGATTGGTTAAAAACTACAGTGTACCAAACCGCATTCATAAATCTCAGGGGGTATACGAAAATCTCAAGGGGTATACGGTCATGTCACATGATTCTCAGCAGTTATACGGTGGAATCACATGATTTTACAAGGGGTATACAGGTCACGTGTCTTTGTATCTTGTGGCTGGGCATCGGGAGACAACTCGCATTCGTCGTCTGCTTCGCGGTTTACAAAATGGCAAATCGTTTCGCTTCGCATACTGATGAGGAAATACTCTCCAAAAGGGCTAACTATGTGCCACATAACACACAAAAGTCGAACAGATGAGCGGCAAACATGCTGAGGACGAAGTATTTAAAAGAAAAGAATCAGGAAGAACAGTTCGAGGAATTTGATAAAACGAAACTAAATGAGGTACTGTGCCTGTTATTTTTCTTTGTTTTATTACAAAAGACTCAAAGGGGTAATAAATTTGTTACACAGATTTTTGGCAGGGTATACGGGATGGTATGACCCTAAAAAGTTTCGTATTTCCTGAGGCCGATATCTGTGTAACTAATAATACTCTTTTTTACTTGATAAGGTTTCTAGTTATTGCTGTTTACTTGTTGTCATTAAGATGGTTGTATTATAATTTTTGACAATTGTAAACTTTTAAAAACTGGAGTGATTATTTTTTTGAAAAGGGGAAGGATTTTTTTCTTTCAAGAAATACAGTCTATCTAAGTAGTTAGTACTGATGATAACATAATTGCAGGGAGAGTGCTGGGGAATACTTTTATAGTACTTCCCAATGATCCCCATACATTAATGTTATATATACATGTATATATATTGCTATACCCATATATTAATGTTATATATATATATATATTGCTATACCCATATATTAATGTTATATATATCCGGTGTAATGAAGGTCTCCACGGTCTTTTGTTGACAAAAGATTCGGCCCAGACTTATAAAATTATATCTCCGTGAACAAAACTGATGTTTATTTCAAATCCATAATCATAAATAGGTGATAATGAATTGAAACTTGTGATCAAACCGTAGTTTATTCTATGACATTCGTTGTAGTACTATGGTATAGTCCTAACGGTGTCCGTATTAGTTACTATTACGTTGAACGTGTTGAAACTGGAAAACATTCAAATGTACAAAATCACACTTGTCAAAGCGCAAAACTTAATCCTAAAGACATGCATGTGTATAGTTATCGGTACTTCTAGTACACATACTTTACCTTTTTCGAACTATCGATACTCCTTTAAAGCAGCAATCGAAGTAAATTACATTTCCCGCTGACATATTTTTGTTTGCACCGCCATGATGTTTACAACAACCGGAGAGGACGAATTATCTAGCCTGTGATTGGTCAAAATTACCAGCCATTGACGAACCGCGAAAGGTTGAATGAACTTGCTAAAACATGTCGCCACACATTTACAGCGGGTCAATTTTATAAAGACAAAATGTTCAGTGATAGGCTTAATAAATTTTAATAAAAGTGTCTTGATTGTTTCAGTAGATTACTTTAGATATCTGAAATAATTGAGATATTCAGATTGAAAGTATTTTGAGACCTTATATCAGAGACATAACTTATAAAGCCATATACGTCTCTGCTTATATTACATTCAAAAAAGAAATTGAACTGAAACTAAGTCAATTAAAACAGCAACTTCAGAACAGTAATATAACAGATGGTGCTATAACTATAAGAGAAATAAAGGAAGTGATTAAACAACTACGGACTGGCAAATCAGTTGGCCAAGATTATATCAGCAATGAAATTATTAAATATTCTTTAAATGTAATTTTACCACTTTTAGCAAATTATTTTAACGCTATCATGAAAACGGGTTGGTACCCAAGTTCTTGGAATAAATATTTTTTTACTCCCTCTTTACAAGTCAGTAGAATCCGATTTGCCAACTAACTATCGAGGCATGTCCCTCCAAAGTTGCTTGGCGAAAGTATTTAACGGCATTTTAAATAGAAGACTTACTACTTTTATGCATAAAAACAATTAGTCCAAATCGATTTCGAAAAAACAGTAGAACAACTGATACTGTTTTTGCTCTAAAAACCTTACTGACTAAATATGAACAATCCAAAAATTAAGTGTATGCCTGTTTCGTTGATTTTAACAAAGCATTTCATAGTGTATGGAGAGATGGTTTAATGTATAAACTTGCTCAAAATAATGTGGGGAAAAACTTGTTTAATGTAATAAATGACATGTATACTAAAACCCAATCCTCGTTAAAATTTAAAAAGGTAACCCCTGAATATTTTGATATCATTAGGGGTGTTAAACAAGGCGATAGTTTAAGCCCTACGCTGTTTAACATGTACATAAACGACTTGTCAAATATACTAAGTAACAATCCGCTAAAATTGGGAGATATCAATGTCGGTAGCTTATCCTTTGCAGATGATTTACTGATTTTATTAGAATCCCCTGAGGTCTTCAGAAATCTCTAAATGACCTTGAAAAGTATTGCACTAAATGGCAGCTCTCAATTAATACTAATAAAACTAAAGCAATGATTTTTCAATCTAGACGCGGTGTCCAAACAACTAGCAAGAAAGTAAAATAGTTTTTATTTAATAAAAAGGAAATTAAACAAGTTACCGAATATAAATACTTAGGCACAACGCTTTGTAACAACGGTAAATTCACGTTAGCAGTTAAAGAACTTTTTGCAAAAAGTAAAAAAGTTCTGTTTGCAATTAGGCAATATCTAAATGAAATAGCTGATATGCCAATTTGGCTATGGAAGAAGTTATATAGTTACTTAATAAGACCAATATTAGCATACAACTCTGAAATATGGTATGCAGACCACTATTTAAAGATTGTAAATGCAAACAAAAGCGCAGATTTAAACCAAACATCTTTAGACATATTTTCCTTACTTGATAAAACATCAACCTCAAAATCGAGGGCAGAACTGGGTCAGTATACCATGGACTGTTTTGTGAATACTTAAGCATTGTGCTATTTGGCAAGGATTACACAAAATGATATAAATGTACTTGTAAAGGAGTCGTTAAAAGTAAATAAACAACTCCACGGAAATGGGATGTATACATGGTTTACATATGTTTCCCAAATAAAAAAGAATAATAATATTAACTATGACTTTCATCACGACCCATTCTTTGCAAAATAGGAAAATGAAAATGAAACTATTGTTTAACAAGTTGATACATGCTAAATTTGAATCTTACTTTTTTGAAAAATGCATAGTTTGGACGAAAATAGTAAGTTATTTCTATACAGTGAAATTAAAAAAAAGTATGCAGAGGAACACTACCTATCGTTACCCAACTTTGAATATAGAAAATTGATGGCAAAGCTGAGACTAAGCAACCACAATTTAGAAATTGAGGCTGGTAGATCTAAAAAGATTCCTCGACAATCCCGACTATGTAAATTCTGCAATACTGTGAAAGATGAAGTACATTTTATATTTAAATGCAAAATAAATTTAAGTATCAGGACTACGTTTCTCCAAAAAATTAAAATTAACCCATCATTGCCTGATCTACAAAATTTAGTATTATTATTGTCATCTAATGACCCACAGCTTTTGCAGGAAATAAGCCTCTTTATTTAAAAGTCATTTGAACTGAGGAAGGCAGGCTTGCAGAATGCATAAGTATGTAGTTTTTGCTGTCCATTATATAGTATCAATGTTTGTTTGATGTTTGCAGCTCGATCCTTGTAAATTGGATGTAAAAATGCAATAAAGTTGATTGATTGATATTTTGTATCAGAGTATTGTTAAAATAAATAATTACAAAACAGCTAAGCTTAGTTAGCTTTCGTTTTTTTTCTTCTTCTTCTTCTTCTTCTTCTTCTTCTTCTTCTTCTTCTTCTTCTTCTTCTTCTTCTTCCACTAACTGCGACATAACTCATAGGTATGAGTGCAATTGTCGCAAAGTTATTTTAAGATTGTTCAACGAGACATATCAAACAGACTAACCATTGCATAGAAAAAACCGACGTCTTGATTAAGGATTTTTCCAAAGCTTTTGACAAGGTTAGTCATTCACAAAGTGCAAACATCTGGAGCTTGGGCAGAGACAACTAAGGTAACCATATATACACCCTAACTCAAGATGGAAAAGAATCCCCAATCGTACGAGTGGAATACGAGAAAGACTTAGGTGTCCATATAGACAATCAGTTTAAATTCTCAATCAACGCCAACTTAGCTGCATCAAAAGCAAATAGGATGCTGGGCCGCATAATATTCCGGACTTTTACATACATGAGCCCTGTAATGTACCTAAATCTATACAAAACGCTGATTAGACCTCATCTGGAATACTCGACAACAGTTTCATCACCATTTTTGATCCGCGCCAAAATTACAATCGAGAACATCCAAAGAAGAGCAACCAAAAAGATTCCAACTCTTAAAAACGTACCATACGAAGAACTATTCCATGAACAACCGAACCAGGGGGCACTCCAGGAAACTATTCAAAAGGCCATGCAGACTAAACAAATATGGTAATTTCTACAGCAACAGAGTGATAAATCTGTGGAACTCTCTAACAGAGGAGGTAGTAATCTCTCCAACGCTCAACACCTTCAAGTCACACGGAGAACTTCAAGCCATTATTTTTATTAGTTATATATATAGATATAATATCATGCAAGTCTAATCAGTCAAAAGTGAGCAATGTAACAAATTGACTGTTTGGCACTGACCATGCTTTTAAAAACCACAAGTTTTTAACCATCAAATTGTAAAGGAGAGGAATCAACAGTGGGAGCTGAATGAACCTGAAATTGTAAATAGCTAGCAACCAGAAGTCAAATTAATACGCGTGTGTACGACATACATTAGAAGAGAAGAATAGTATACATCACCACAAGCTACTAGCTAAGTTAGCTTACAACGCGGTACAGTCGTTTCGGTACCCGGTAGTTTCGGTAATTTAAAAAGAAGATGTTTCGGTACTTTTTGTAAGTCGTTTCGGTACTTCAACAATTTTGATTATTGTTTCGGTACTTCGTTTATTAGTTAATATATATTTCTCATCTGTTATTTATTTAACGTTTGCTTTCGTAGTTGTTTAAACAATCACGCAGATCAGTCAATCATTGTTTCGTACTTCAAACGGGATCCCGCAACATACGCGATGGTTTTTTTTAACTGAGCAGCTGAGTAGATCGTTAGGAGAAACTCTACGTTGAGGGAATTCACCAACTTGTCATAAAAATGAGGGTTCCACCATCAAATTTATCAAAACACTCATCATGTCTTCGGCTGATACGTGTATTCAGTGTGACGGCGTACGTTGTTCGACCTCGACAGAAAGCCCTACAGAAATACTATACTTAGAAATTATTAATTAAACATGTTATATATATGTCCCGCTATACTTAGAAATTATTGAAATATGAATTAAACATGTTATATATATGTCCCTTTTATATTTAGCTAATTTCTTTTTTAAATACCAATTATACTTTTTATATATATGCCCTGTTATACTTAGAAATTAATAATTAAATATGTTATATATAAGTCCCGCTATACTTAGAAATTATACTCAAATTGGTATGGTTTAAAAACAGATATGAATGTAACACATCAGTGGACACCATAGCAAAGAAAGACTCTTATATCAAATAAACATGGACGGTATCAAAACAAGCAAAGACCACTTCAGAAAATCTATTAAAGAAAGATATTAGAAACATGAGCAAATCAAAATAACAAACTGATACAAACACGTGTATTATAGCACAAGTTTGACTCCACACTTAGAGTTACTTCCCTTGAAGGTATATAGCACGCAAAAAGTGGTGACGTTGACTATATAACTTGGTACCAAAATGAGTTTTCCATAAGTACCGAAACGATTTTCAGAAGTACCGAAACGACTTTCAGAAATACCGAAACGACCGGGTACCTAAACGACCTGATAGAAAACTTCCTGGATAATAGGAAGCAGACTGTCATCGTTGAGGGGGGGAAATTCAAGCATTGTCGATGTTAAGTCTGGTGTCCCCCAAGGCTCGGTTATTGGTCTCTTTCTATTTTATATAAACGACATTCATTTTGGCCTCCACTCCACTGTACGTCTATTTGCAGATGACACCATTGTCTATCTTACTATCAAATCACTATCTGATGCCCAGCTATTACAACAAGATTTAGACAAATTAGCTCTATGGGAGTTAGCATGGGAAATGTCCTTCCATCCTGACAAATGCAACGTACATGTACGTCCTTTCCATCACCACCAACAAAACACCCACAACGTCACAAATACAAGCTGCACGGAAAGGTGAATTACAACACGTAGACAAAGCAAAATATTTAGGTGTCACTATACAGTCAAATCTCAAGTGGGAATGCCATATAAATAACATCTGTGGGAAAGTCAACTCCACCGTAGGCTTTCTCAGACGAGATATAAAGATGAACTCTTCATCTGTCAAGGAGCGGGCATATAAAGCACTTGTCAGACCATCCCTAGAATATACTAAAACAAACATAAACAAAATAGAAATGGTGCAGCGTAGAGCAGCCAGATTAGTCACCAACAAATTTAGAAACACCTCCATTGTTGGTGACATGCTTCAACACCTTAACTGGCAATCACTTGAAGACAGAAGGAGAGCCATGCGACTTACAACACTACAAACAACTACACATGACAAAGTCAATATAAGAAAAGACCAACTCATACCTGCATCCCGCCACACAAGACACGCATACCAGAACTCATATCAAACACTATCATGTAGAACACAGGTACGACAACAATCCTTCCCCCCTCGTACCATTGTAGACTGGAATAACCTCCATTACCTCTTCCGACTGCTTTAAACTGTCCCTAAACAAAAAACACTTCTAACTCCCATACTTTATAAAAATTCCCTTACACTGTCGTGTATCTTCTCTTCTCTTGGCATGGCACCCGATATCACATGACATGATTTTCAAATATATGAAGGTGGTCATTACCATGTAGATGTAGATGTGGACCTTTCGATCAAATCAAAATATCGAGTGGAATATCGTATACATAGATGATGTAACGTTATCAGCAGTGTTTGCCCGAAAGCGCTTCGGTTGAATGTTCTTTTGTCCGCTTACTTGGCATTGATGTGGCCAATGAATGCCAACTGAAAGTAGTTCAATGCTTGAAATAATCATTTTTGGAATACATGTTAATCTCGTGGAGAAATATCATACTGTATACCGTATAAATGGTTTATATTCTAATTAGAAAACCACATTGTATCTTTCTATGCCGATATGTTTTAAATTCAATTTCTGATATTAAATTGGTGTTCCACAGGGTTCCCTCCTTGCCCCTTCTATTTTTAAACGATATCAATGATGTTGCTGACGTTCTGTGTCAGCTTTACGTCTTTTTGCAAATACTGCTTTTCTTATGTAGCGGGAGATGGAAATATACACGGCCGAACCGAGCTGCGTACCCGGAACACTCCGAACACTAGACGAACGCTCTACCAATTAAGCTACCTGGTCGGCGACGATCGACCCACTCCAGTTCCGGTTGAATTAGGAGTACACCTTCTTGTGATAAGATAGAATCTTAATTGTAAGTAGGCTAAGAAAATGGTTGGTAAACTTCATTCCAAGCGAAATGGAAATGGTATTTTTGGCGTTGATATACAGCGCCAATTTTACCTGTATTGGAAGGAAAAGGCCCAACGTGACGCTCCCCTATTCTGATAGAAGTAGAAACTGTATACTTAACATGAAGAGAAACAACTTAAATTTTCGTCAAAACACCCCATTTACAGCGACGAATAGAAATGATTTAAAACAGAAGAGAATGTCTACTACAAATTCGTCATTTTTCTTTTTCGGTTAGACTTTACCTCCAGATTTTATTTTTGTTTAAAGTAAAATTAATTGTTTTATTTCTTAAGAGTTAAATCAGTTACAACCTTTTGTGATAAGCCCATTGTGACAGTGACAGGAATGAATGCAGGGACAACTGATCTTCTTATCCGTTTGGTTACAACAGTATGGCGTTCGCACGCAATAATTATTGGGCTGGGTAGTACCACGGAATTAGATTAGAAATCCCTGTTATCTAAGTCCGTGGTAGTTCATACCGTCACAGAAATTAAAAAGAGACAAAAAATCAAGAACAGTCTGTGAAAACATAAATTTCACATGTTTTGACCCGTTTTAAAAGAAAGGTTCGGTTCAATTTTCATCTGCTAAATTATTATACAAGTCTCCAGCAAAATCAATGGGTGTCGCTCTCTATGTGTCATATTTTTAAGGGTATCGAGAATAGAGCCCTTGGATTTCAAAGCTGATTAGCTGTCTTAAAAAGGAAATATTCATATAAAATAATGACCATTTCATCATATCGTCTGGGTTTTCACTCGGTGCTATAAATAAGAATTGATTATTTATTGTGACTTTTTAAACACCGCCACAGGTAGGGTACGTCCCGCATGAATGACAGCAATAATCTTTAGTAGGTTAAAATCAATAAGAACCTAGCTATACACAGCTACCCGTATACTTCAATACACGGAGTTCACGAGTGGAGGATGGTTTTGAATCGACTGACTGAACACAATAACTAAATCTTGTTTATTTACTGCTGTCATGGTTACAAGGTGTAAGGTGATATGATTACATCGTGAAGATACAGTACCGACCTGTTACCTAGGAAGCTGGTACGACATCTTTTAAGAAAAGGTTGGTACCGGTGTTTTATAAAATGTCTGTCACTACATACACAGTATAGGCCTATATACATTGTACGTGCAGGTACAGATACAGAAGCTTTATTTTACGTCGAATATTATAAACATACAACATAAGCTACGAAGAGCTTGTGTTTCGACAAACACATGTACATCGTGACATTTCGATTTATGTCATGTCATAGGCTATCTATAGCACCAATTTCGTCCGCTAGAACTGATCATAATCAAGCACAAGGTCCCATGATTCACTCTAATGTAGACATTTTTGCGTTAAGAATTCAACTATCGCGGATCGGTATCAGAATATATAACTTATACACCTAGGTGAGGAATGGTCGGGCTAGCTGCGATAACGTAGCTTCTGACGACGAGACGATTTATAAAGTTGACCAGGAGCTAGGTCGGGTATTAGTACTAGTGTCGGCCGGCCAGAAAGGAATAAAACGTACAATACGGTTACCAATTCATTTCACAAAAGAGTAGCCTAGTTTAAGTAGTTGCTCGTTAACGGTTAGTTGGACGGTCACACATCTAGACTAGGTCCTGATGAAACACCCATTCTTTGATCGTAATACTTTTGAATGGACGTACGTCGACGTAGTAAGTATAAATAAAGCACACAACTGACACATAAGTTATATCGTTTAAAATTTAATATACTGTACTAAGCATTTTTTCTAACTAATTGTTGAATTTGAGGAAAACATATTGACCTATTATGCATTTTTTACAAAATGAATATATAACATTTGTTTTTCAAATTAACATATGTATGTATAGTTACTTAATGTTTTACCCCTGCTACATAAGAGACCATTGATTGAATGATGAGTTTTGATGAATATGTTTCTTAATGTTATGGATTTTAGATCTGTTGAAGCAAAACTCTATTAAACTTTTGAAACATAGATTGAAATGTATACATGTACATCCTATTTGTCCTCTTTAACCTTGTAGCCAATGAAAAAGAAATGATTGTAAGCTTATCACTATAAGCATTTTATCACATAATGTACTGTGTTATCCAGTGAACATACCCATGTCATAGTTTTTTGCATATTAGCCCATGTAATATGACCTATCAGCCCTGTGATTGGTTGTAAGTTTCAATTGTTTCAACTGTGACGTCACGCCTAGGACAAGTACATGACGTCACAGACTTACGCACTGGAGTCAAAATGGCGTCTTTTTACATTTTAAGGTTGCATGAAAATTGTCGTTTTACACAAATTAATGTCACAAATCTTGATTATGTGATAAAAAGGATCTAATACTCGTTTTCAAGTCATATGAAATTTATGAAACTTGTCACAAATTTTTCATTTTAGCTCGCCAGAGGCTCGCTAAATTGAAAAATTCTAAGACTCGTTTCATAAATCTCATTTGGAATAGAAGACACTCATGTAAGATCCAATATGTAAGGGTGTAGAATAACGTCTCCCCACTCCACCTCTGTCTCTGGTATCAGGAATTGACAACCAAAACTGAATTGGACCCAATGCAAATTTGGATTTCTCAGTATCCCTTGCCCTTTTCCACCCCACAGACTGCAGCCCTGGTAATTATGTTCCCGCCATTCACAACTTCAGTGCCATTGTCAATGACTGATTACCCTCATTTTTGGTGATTGATTAGCAGAAATATCAAACTTGCATGAAGTTATTACCAGTTACCAGTTGTTAAAAATTGTATTACATGTCATTAAGCATTGTATTTCATGTCATTAAGCACTGTATTGCATGTCATTAAACAATGTATAACATGTCATTAAACATTCATGTCATTAAACATTGTATTACATGTCATTAAACATTGTATTACATGTCATTAAACATTGTATTACATGTCATTAATCATTGTATAACATGTCATTAAACATTGTATTACATGTCATTAAACATTGTATTACATGTCATTTAACATTGTATAACATGATTATTGTATTCCATTGTATTACATGTTGTTAAACATTTTATTACACGATTACATGTTGTTAACCATTAAATTACTTGATAGCATGTGTAATTATTGTTCAGCAACAAAATGTTGCAATGGAGGTTTTTATGAACAGTAATTTTTCAAAACTGTCTTGTAAACTCTTTCTTAATACAGTGTTGTCAAAATGAGAAATCTGTTTGTTTTTCAATTTTGCAAAGTAAGCAGAATTAATTGATGAATATTGATTAATTTTCAAGCAACAAATTGAAAGCCATGTACAAATGTAGTGAGGCCTCCCTCTCCTATTTACCCGTCACCCCTCTGTGGTGCCCCAAAACAATCAATTACTTTCAACAAATCAATAACAGATGATGGGTATTTTTAGCCAAATAGAGGTCTCCAGGAGGTGCTTGTGATTTCGTATATAATAAAGATAATCTATCTTTAATCAAATTTTATCAACTGTTTTTAAAATTAAAGACTAAAGATGTTGATATCTATCTTAACAGATACAATGTATAGCCACACATATATCGGGCTGACTACATTTTTTATCAAACTACGTGTAAATAATTTATACCTATGTGTTATAAATTGTGTTTATCTGTTTCTAGGTATTACCATGTTCTCCCGCCTACATGCTCAGGAGTCGGATGGAACCAAACAGATATCAACCTGGTCAGTTAAACATTTTCTTTGTCTTCTGAAAATATTTGATCTCAGGATGTTTGCCATTACCACACATTTAAGTGATCAAGATGAACATGTTTGTGTGTCAAATTGATATTTTAATGTACATAGAATACCATTAGTACCCTTTATTGAAAATCACGGAGGCTAGATCTTTAAAATCCTTTTTTTGTGTGGGAGCAGGTGGGAGGGTTGAGGGAGCTTTATTAAGTTTGTGTGATATGGTCCATTCTTTATGTTTGGGTTCAGTGGTTTTGTTTTAGATTTCGACCTAATTGACCATAAGTTGGGAGAAAAGGTGAAATAGGGCATGCTGCTGTCAATCACTGAACAAGTGTGTGTTTAATGACACACAATGAACGTGACTGTTGAACATACAAAGGACAAATAATTGGTCCCAACTCAATATCAAAACACCAACGCATCAAACAAGTCTATCCTTGTTTTTTAGATACTGAACATTTGGAATTTCCATGTACGTACATAGTGAATATGAAGTTGTTCTTAAAGGGGAAATACATGTAGATCTTCAGTGATTTAAACTTTTTGATGGATTTTTTTGGATAATATACCTGTATTAGAAAACTGGTCTTCATACAGATCGAAACGTGCTGTTATCCAGATAGCTGGTATTATATACAGAGGCTCATAAATACAGGTTCATTTTTTCTTTCATACTCCAATGATTAATCATGGAGGTCCCAACAGTACGCATGATTAATTTTGAATGATTTTTTTCTCTTCATATCAAGCAAGTTGTAAGGCTTAACCCTTTCACCCCTAGGTAACTTTAGAAGACTCTACCATGCATTGATATGGATGAGTCCATTATTGTCTACAGTGGTGAAAGGGTTAATTGTCAAAACAAAGTTCTAGCCTGTTACTGTATAGTGATGCATTATGATGTCACAATCAAAGTGTGTCTTTAATGCAATGTTTGTTTATTGATAGAATGATAACAAATATTTGACCTATGATAGTTCAGTATTTGGCATGAAAACTATGAGAAAGAAAAATGAAAATAAGCAAAATTGAAACTGACATAATTGACGAAAAAATGAAATTGTTTGGGACTACTAAACATATTTCATATGTTTGGTATATACACTGTATTACCATGTGGAGTCATGTGATACCATTGGATACCATGTGGAGTCATGTGATACCATTGGATACCATGTGGAGTCATGTGATACCATTGGATACCATATGGAGTCATGTGATACCATGTGATACCATATGGAGTCATGTGACACCATTGGATACCATATGGAGTCATGTGATACCATTGGATACCATATGGAGTCATGTGATACCATTTGGTACCATGTGATGTCATGTGNAGTCATGTGATACCATTGGATACCATGTGGAGTCATGTGATACCATTGGATACCATATGGAGTCATGTGATACCATTGGATACCATATGGAGTCATGTGATACCATTGGATACCATATGGAGTCATGTGATATCATTGGATACCATGTGATGTCATGTGATATCATTGGATACTATGTGATGTCATGTAATACCTTGATGTCATGTGATACCATTTGGTACCATGTGATGTGATGTCATATCATTGGATACCATTTTGAAGTCATGTGATACCAGGATGTCTTTTGATACTTTTGGATATCATGTGAAGTGATGTGATATCCTGTAATATATATGATATCATATCATACATGTACCATGTAAAACTATATGACTCTTTCATGCCCAGGGGCAGTTACCCTAATCTATCCTACACCCTTGGGCATGAAAGAGTATTTTTCTCTCATTCCAACCAACAGAAGAAGCCCAGAAACCATGAGTATTTGTTTGGACTGGCCATCATTTTGAAAATATCAATGTTTCCCCTGAGCTTTTTAGACAAAACGAATCAGCCAGCCAGATTAAGCATATCCCATATTTGCAAACATGTTTGCGCATAAAATATAATCACATCTTTCTAACATGAACGGTAAATATATAGTAAAAGGTTTTAATTTCATCACGTCGCCTTTTCCACATTGCGGCATCGGAGAGTTCCAAATTCGTGACGTCACGTCATTGTTGAGCCATTGTCACGTCACGTGAAAAGGGGTGTAAGATAGAAATTTCCTACACCCCTTTCTTACCCTGGACATCTCTATCTTATACACAGGGAAGTGAGAGAATACATGATACTGTGTGATACTGCAGGATACTGTATTAAGTCATGTGATACTTTTAAGTTATTTTCAATCTCTAAAGAGTCCATAATGAGTAAAATTGGATTTGTTTTCATAACATTTTAAACATTTCCTTTGCTGATGGTTATTCAAATGTCATATAGACTCTGAATTGCTGTTGAAGGATCAGAGACCTAGGTAAACCAATTGATTTTGTCATTGATTTGTTTATATTTATGTTATAATTATGTGTGTAAACAATATCGTTGATATACTGTTTCAGACAAGGTAAGAAAACCTGTTGGTACATGTGTGTATCCTGGCACACTTTTAAACCTTCCCAATACTATAATTATTGTATAAAATGATAAAGTCAGTTACCCTAACCAGCCTTGTCATCAAACTCCACACTGTCTCTAAAGTGTAGGTGTCTGTGACCTGTGGCTGATGTGATTGATCTTTATTAATGAAGGTTATTCCAGGGGTTACGTGCACTTTAGCTCTACCACCCCTAGAATATGTCATAGCAAAATCCAAGAGATAGAAGACTAGTTTGATCTTTTGATGTACATCAAAAAGATTATGTTTGTTGCTTGCCTAACATAAATTGACTGCCTTTGAAGTCGGCTGTTGCTTCTCTTTAATCTTCAAAGGACAGGTATCAGCCTAGCAATTGGTCAGGTTTATTTACCTGAGACAAATCAAATAGGTAGCCACATGCCTGCAATTTTGCTATGACATAGTACAGTTAGTTCTCAGGCCCAGTCACAGTACAGTTAGTTCTCAGGCCTAGTCATACCGCAGTTAGTTGTCAGGCCTAGTCATACCACAGTTAGTTCTCAGGCCTAGTCACAGTACAGTTAGTTCTCAGGCCTAGTCATTCCACAGTTAGTTCTCAGGCCTAGTCATACCACAGTTAGTTCTGAGGCCTAGTCATACCACAGTTAGTTCTGAGGCCTAGTCATACCACAGTTAGTTCTCAGGCCTAGTCACAGTACAGTTAGTTCTCAGGCCCAGTGCAGTTAGTTCTCAGGCCCAGTCACAGTACAGTTAGTTCTCAGGCCTTGTCATACCACAGTTAGTTCTCAGGCCTAGTCATACCACAGTTAGTTCTCAGCCCCAGTCATAGCACAGTTAGTTCTCAGGCCCAGTCACAGTACAGTTAGTTCTCTGGCCCAATCATAGCACAGTTAATTCTCAGGCCCAGTCACACTACAGTTAGTTCTCAGGCCCAGTCACAGTACAGTTAGTTCTCGGGCCCAGTCACAGTACAGTTATTTCTCAGGCCCAGTCACACTACAGTTATTTCTCAGGCCCAGTCACACTACAGTTAGTTTTCAGGCCCAGTCATAGCACAGTTATTTTGCAGGCCCAGTCACACTACAGTAAGTATTCAGACCCAGTCAAACTACAGTTATTTCTTAGGCCCAGTCACAGTGCAGTTAGCTCTCAGGCCCAGTCACACTACAGTTGATTCTCAGGCCCCAGAGACAAACTTCAGTTTTTCTCAGGTCAAGTAATACTACAGTTCGTTGCCAGGCCCAGTCACACTACAGTTATTTCTCAGGCCCAGTCACACTGCAGTTAGTTCTCAGGCCCAGTTACACTACAGTTAGTTCTCAGGCCCAGTCACCCTTCAGTTTTTTCTCAGGTCTAGTAATACTACAGTTCGTTGCCAGGCCCAGTCACACTTCAGTTTTTTGTCAGAACCAGTCACACTACAGTTTTTTTCTTAGGCCAAGTCACACTACAATTAGTTCTCAGACCCAGTCACAGTTCAGTTAGGTCTCAGGCCCAGTCACACTTCAGTTAGTTGTCAGGCCCAGTCACCCTACAGTTTTTTCTCAGGCCTAGTCACACTTCAGTTTTTTCTCAGAACCAGTCACACTACAGTTTTTTTCTTAGGCCAAGTCACACTACAGTTAGTTCTCAGACCCAGTCACAGTACAGTTAGTTGTCAGGCCCAGTCACACTTCAGTTATTTCTCAGGGTCAGTCACAGTACAGATATTTCTCAGGCTCAGTTACACTACAGTTAGTTCTCAGTCCCAGTCACACTACAGTTAGTTATCAGGCCCAGTCACACTACAGTTAGTTCTCAGTCCCAGTCACACTACAGTTAGTTGTCAGGCCCAGTCACACTTCAGTTATTTCTCAGGGCCAGTCACAGTACAGATATTTCTCAGGCTCAGTCACACTTCAGTTTTTTCTCAGAACCAGTCACACTACAGTTTTTTCTCAGGCCCAGTCACACTGCAGTTAGTTCTCAGGCCCAGTTACACTACAGTTAGTTCTCAGGCCCAGTCACAGTACAGTTAGTAGTTGATCAGGTTGAGCTAAAAACTGATCAATTGCTAGGTTAATATGTGTCCATTCAAAGCTTGTCAATTTAACCATTCCATCGCCAATCAAACTATTCTACGAGTATCATCCACAATGTGGCCCTTTCATGAGACATTTCTTGCTTTATATTTTATCTCATTCAGTGTCAATAAATACCAAAAAGTAGTCTTCTATAGAAAACTGTGTCTTGTATGTTGATAATAAAAATATAAGTTCTCTGTTGACACATATGAGTTATCTTATAAAGTATATAAGATAATTCTTTATCAAATTTACTATCTACAATAGATAAGAGATGTCTTGTAAAGTTTGAGATATAGGATCTCTGAATTTTATAAGATGTGTTTATCTTGTTTTGTTTATAACTATTAAGGTGGCCAGAAGAGAGAACCAATTTTCTTCAGTACATTTAGTACATCTTGGATTCTTATGTGATAAATAATTAGCTTAGAATTTATATTTTGCATTCACATTTCAGATGAGACATTTTTGGTTTCAGATGTTCAAGAGAGTGGAGATTTGAAAACAGCTCTAAGGCACAATGGCAGCTCGTAGGATCAGAGTAGCGACACCAGATGGAGGTCCCAGTATGGCGGTAGTCCAGGGAACTGGTGAGGAGGAGGAGGACACTGTCAGTGTTTTCTGAGTGATGACTTGTGTAAACCCCTCTAGATATTGAAATTCTGTCTTTATGATAAAACCAACGCCACCTTTTTAGCCGACCATCATCTGATGGTGGGCTATTCAAATCACCCTGCGTCCGTGGTCCTTGGTCCGTCCGTCGTCCGTCGTCCGTCCTTAAACAATTCTTGTTATCGCTATTGCTCCAGAAGTACTAGAAGGATCTTTCTCAAATTTTATATGCAGGTTCCCCTTGGTCCTGAGCTGTGCAGGGCAATTTTTTGAGACTGAACGGATAACCAAAATGGCCGACAGGCAGCCATCTTGGATTTTGATAGTGAAAGTTTGTTATCGCTATTTCTCAAGAAGTACTAGAGGGACCTTCCCCAATTTTGATATGAAGGTTCCCCTTGGTTCTTAGCTGTGCAGGGCAACTTTTGAGCCTGATCGGATAAACAACATGGCCGACAGGCAACCATCTTGGATTTTGATAGTGAAAGTTTGTTATTGCTATTTCTCAAAAAGCACAAGAGGGATCTTTCTCAAATTTGATATGCAGGTTCCCCTTGGTCCTTAGCTGTGCAGGGCAATTTTTGAGACTGATCGGATCAACAACATGGCCGACAGGCAGCCATCTTGGATTTTGATATAGAAAGTTTGTTATCGCTATTTCTCGGGAAGTACGGGAGGGATCTTTCTCAAATTTTAAATGTAGGTTCCCCTTGATCCCTCGTTGTGCATGTTATATTTTGAGACTGATCATAAAAACAAAATGGATTAAAAGAAGAACTAAACAGATCTTTCTCATATTGCAATGATAGATTCTATTTCTTTCACATTAAGTACTGTACTAGTAAATATGTGAAATAACAAACTCACTTTGAAGGTTGGCTTTCATACACATCAGTATTAAGTTTAGATCAAAAGTTACCTCAAGGTGCATTTACTGTTAATATGACTCGATCAAACAGATTAGAGGAAAAAATGAGAAAAGATCGAACTGACAAAGAACTAATGAAGATGGTACAAAGGTGGGCGCCAAGATCCCTCTAGGATCTCTTGTTTGAAAAAACTAGAGAAAACACCATGAGCTGTACAACTTTTGGTGACCATCAGATATAGTTTACACAGTTTTACACTTGCAATGCAGTTATTTTATAAACATGAGTAACTTTATAAACAAATAAACTACGGTCATGTCAGAAATGTCCAAGGCAGGGGCCCTAATCTGTGATCTAGAGGTAAGAAAAATGGTTAATCAAATAAAAAATGGTATTCAATGATGTATTAATGGTCCAGTGAGGTGTGGACCATATTTTGTACTGTTTAATGTCCATTGATTTAAGAAATGATATTTCAATGGTGATATTGCCATTTAAATGCTATGAATTAAATGGTGTTTCAATAGATTTTGTGGAAAAAATGGTTCTTTAAAAGCATTATGCTTCTTTTTCCTAAGGAGAGTCTGTCATAGCTCGAATACCAGTGGCAGATGAACTTCTGGACACCAACAGTGGGCCTGAGAGTCGATTCCAGCAACTTCCTGGATCAAAAACAGGAGGCGGCCTAAGGTACAGGTCATTGAACCCTGTTAGAACCAGTCTCGCAGGTAAGATCAGTGCGCTCACCATTATGTTGAAGTGGATATTCAAATGTTTTAATGATTATTTGCTGTAACTTGTAAAATGTTTTACTTAATAATAGCTCACCAGTGGACTGGTCGTCTCCATTCTATAAAACTAATTAAAAGTATTCAGGCATTTTTTTAAAAGTAAAAGAAGTTGACTTTATTCTGAGGAGAAATTATTGCTTCAAATTAGAACATATTTTCAAAAGAAGGAATTACATTTTAATTATCATACTATGTTTCATCATATTTCAGACAACTGACAAACATAATTGAAGATATATACTAAAAAAGATACTTATTTGAAATTTTTATAATGTCCAATTCTTATTTGATTGATTTTTTTTTCAATTGATTGTCTTATTTTATAAACAACCAAGATTTCGATTATTTCAGGAATGGACTATGTAATAAATTGGTCTATTGATGTTAAGACAAAAAACGCTATGTGAAGACCGAGTGCACTTTTGTTTTCAGTTTATCGACAGACCAATTATTATCTAGTCCAATCCTCATGATTTGATTTTAAAACAAAAACTTTTCTTTTGGAAAAAAATGTGTCATTTTATTTACAACAACAAAAGCATTTTTCTTTTATGAATGGTGCAATGATTTTTTTGTTGATCAATCAAATGTCATGTTTTAAATGAGGCACTAGTTGAGCTGGAGCTTACGGCTACTCATTTATTCTGTCTAAGTGACGCTAATAAGACTAGGTATTGTCTAGAACTTCGCTTAACTAAGTTGTCTGGAATTTATCAATTTCATCTGTTCTAAAGTCAAGTAAAATGCTTGGATTTCCAACGTCAATAGACATGGTTGCAGAGGAACATTTAATTAAGTTTGACAGATTTACTTTACAGTACTTTGTGTAAAACATCATCAAAATGTGTTTTTTTGTTTTGGTCTATCATTTGATAGTCTGTAATCACCAACCAATTAGAAAGCGAGTTACAAACAATATATAAGATGGTATAGGGGCATGCAAATTATTTTTAATCTACATTTTTCTGTTGTTTGACGTCAATTTAATTTTAATTGCAGGATTCACTCCTGTAGAGATTGATTTATCCAAGTTGTTCCATGAGAGCGGTGTTGAAGACTACTTTGATATATCACTTGCATTGGTATGTACCTTGTTTCCTTGAAAGTGTAATTTTTGGCATTTTTTAGCGTATTATTAAATCCTAGTTTTAAAAACACAAAATATCCAGTCGATATAATCAAGTCAAGTCTCTGTCATTATGTCTTTCTATATTATTTTTCTTCTCGAACGTAATGTAGGCATGCTTAATTGACATACATAAATCAAGAAGGTACATTAATTTTTTTTCCAGCCTGCATTAACGAAAGGGAGTGAATCGGGTAACAACATCAGTAAATTGAGTTTGTCTGGTGTGGAACAGCTGACCGACATGTTTTTTCTGGTTCTCAAGTGTCAGGAAGTAAATCTGCCATTCCTGGAAGACTTTACACTCTGCGGTCAGTACATGACATTAAACTCATACTCTATATACTCTTATCCTTAATTCTAACCCTGAACTCTGACATCAAAGCTGTGACATTCAAGTGTGATATCATATGCTCTACTGTATAATTTTAGCATATCTAATTTGGATTGTTGTCCTGTTTCATAAGTACTGTGATCCTTGTTAAATTTTATATATGTTTTGTCGCAAGAATAGCACTACAGTGCTAATGTTATTATGTTACATGTATATGCGACGTTAAATAAAGCTTCTTGAATCTTGAATCTTGACCCCCTAAAGTCACTGCAAGGTTGTGGGTATACATTAAATGGGTAGGGGTGGGGGAGAACAAACTACAGGACATGTCCTTATGGTTGTGAGAGAAATTACCTATAAATGTGAGGCCCCTTGCATTGGATTATCATATAATTACGGGTACATACAGGCCAAAACTTTAAAAAGTTTCATCTGGAGAAAAATCTTGTTGCAAAATATTTAAAAAAGTTAATTTGAGCAAAATGCCTCTTGTAGGGAATTCTGGTGATAAGGGTAAATTCAAATGTCTCCTTTGATGAACGGGAGACTTTTGGAGTATTACACAATGTAGGTACATGTATGTCATTCTATAAGGATATTGGTAGGAAAAGTTAAATCTGCTGCCTTCATGGTGATATTTTAAAACTTAAGTTTTCTTTCTGTGTCATTGATCGCTGACATGGATGAGAGTTGTTCATTTCACCCCTGAATACCTTCGCGTCTAATTACCAATTTATACACCTTATCAACATTTTAGTAAGTGATGGGGTTGCAATTTATTTTTTAATTTTTCTGATTTTCTTTGAAGTTCTTTTTTTTTTTTATATATCCATTTATGAATATTAATTTTAAAAAGTGCTTATACCTTCTTGGATAGAAACTATGAAATTTCCAGGTAGATGTTTCATCATTATTTAATTTTGACTTTTTTCAAACAAGTTCTTTCCTTTTTGCTTTTTTTTTTATCAATTTTGTCCAACGTACTGCTACCGGTTACTTTCCCTCCCTTGCTTATAGCTTCTTGGCCAATATTTATAAAGACTTGGAACATTTGGTCTGTACCTAAGGTCGGAGCCTACAAAATTTCTCTGTATCTCAGTCCCTTTTAGAAGCAGTTTAAATATCCCTTTATCGGGGATATTGTGTGGCTTACGGTTTTGATTAAAAAGGTTAAATAAAAAAAGATTTTTTTGAATTGTTTGATTTTCTGATGGAAGTTTACAACAATTAATGTATAAATTTCAATAAGAAAAATTCACATTAACATGTTTTATTTGTTGAGTGACTTGATATTGATATGTAATGAGTGCTTCTCGGGGTCATTTGGTTTGATTTTCAAGATATTCAGGAGTTTTTTTTTAGAGGTATGTACGCATTGTCTTATTCCTGGACAATTTTGGCCAGCTTTAGTTTCATGAAATTGTATTTTGTGCGTGTGACATGACATTTCACTGTTGTAGCACCAGAATTCTGATTTATAAGTTTTTTAATATATCACAAGCGTACACAAATCATAAGATATCATAACAAAGTATTGTCATATACTGCTGACTATCTTTTAATCAGAAAAAAACCCAAGAATTGTATTTCAAGCAGAAATATATTTTGAATGACAATTTCTATTTTGTTATTAAGGAAAATTCTTTATTTTGCACTTTTATTCTTATATACCTAATCTAGTTTCTCGACTGACAAAGGTCTATCGTAAATATTTCATGAAACAAGTCATGTGACTTTATTACAGGTGCTCCCCATATCACAGACCAGGGTATCCAATGGCTGTCAGAAATACCAGGAATTAAAATCAAAAACGTATGTATAGGTACACTGTACCAACTTGATCATTAAGTATTAACATCAGCTGAATAATATAAAATTGCTTTGTTACATATTGGATGTGGTGACAGGTCTCGTTTTCCTGTGCCATACAGCATTGATGTCATTCACTGCTCTATCGATTGAACTAAAAGTAAATTTTAGCAAGTGGTTACAAAAGGGAGACAAGTCAAGATGCTAAAGTAAATTTGCTATTTATAGAGAAAGGTGGCATGGCATGAGTTTATTAACCTCAGATAAACTTTGTGTCATCACTCAAGGTCAAGGTCACTGAGGCTTTTTGTTATGTTGTTGATATGGGTATTTTTTCATTTAGAATAGATAAAGGGTGGAACATTAGTATGAGTAATAGAAACTTTTTTATGTTTGCAGGTTTCCTTGGAAGGATGCCCAAAGCTAACAGATCGGTCCTTACACATTCTCCTCAGAATGAAACCGGAATCCATTCACATGAAAGCAGTGTCTAATATAGCTTGTCTGAGTCCAGGTAAGTCCATACGATTGTCATGATTCATTCCATTCCAAATATTTGGGACCAAAAGTGAAGTTTGAAATTGGTGTCATGCATTTTCCTTTTTTTTGGAGCCTTCATCAGGAGCAACTTTTGTTGGACCTAAAATAAGATCTATAATCATGAAACATCAGGCTAGGTGAGTTAATGGTATGCTTTATAGTCCCTTGTCAGACAGTTGATCATGATGTCAGTCATTACTTTTTAACATTTAAAGCATCCTAACAAACAAATGATCAAATTCACTTACAACTGAAATAGGACCCTTAAGGCATGAAAGGCTCTTCAGCAACCTCAATTGCTCCAAGCTTGTGGATTTCTCACCGCCACCAGTTGTCACAATCATGACATCTGGAAAGCGACCACTTGACTGGGGGCTAGACTGGTGGGGAGGGGCTAGACTGGTGGGGAGGGGCTAGACTGGGGGGGAGGGGACACAATTAGAATGGGCTATTCAGGCTACTCGAATGTTTTTTTGCTGCAATCTTCCAGTAAATAGATATTTTTGCTGCAAGTTTGCAGCAAATTACTTCTGGCAACCATTTTTGGCAAACTGATATTTTAGTTATGACAATTTTGTAGTACTTTAATTTCTATACGACTACAAAGGGGATGCCCTATTGTTTACCTTTGTTTGAAACAATGTTAATTTGATGCTGTATGTTTATAACATTTGCCATCCGTATGTAGATTTAAGCTAGTATCAATGAGATATTACCGTTAATTACAGGTGTGAGCAAAGAAGATGTCACATTCAGTGGCTGCCAGTTAATATCCCCTCCTGATGCCATGTTACAAGCGGACCCGTGTCCTGTTGGAAAAGGTAATATTTTAGTGTTAATACTTACATCAGACC